GGAAAACAAACACTCCCGTGATTTACAGAGGTCCCGATGCAGCGGGAAAGTTCCTAGAATATCTACAAAATGAAGAGAGAATAATCAGGGAAAAATTATTGTGTAAGAAAGCCATGTGTATGAGGAGGGATGATTGGAGGGCCCATAAGAAGTCAACGAGTTGTCATGTTTGTAATAAACCCCTGGATGCCACGTCACGGGTAATTATCTGGGAGCCGCGCATAACAAGTGTAACTTTAAACTAAAAATGAACTCTCAAACAATACCCATCCCCGTTGTGTTTCACAACCTTAGGGGATACGATTCACATCTCATTATGCAAGCTATCTCAAAGACCGACGGCGGTTTAACATGCATTCCTAATAATATGGAAAAATACATATCGTTCTCGTTGACTAAACCTATACATTATAGGGACAAGGATGGGAAATCTAGAATAAAGCAAAGTATTGGGCTTAGATTCATAGACTCCGTACAGTTTCTGTTATCTTCCCTGGACAATTTAGCTTATGCGAACAATCCCGATGACTTTGCGATAACAAATAAATATACCAATAAGATAACTCGTCATTTGTTGCTGAGAAAAGGTGTATATCCTTACGAATATATGGATGATTGGTCTAGATTCGAAGAAACGGAATTACCACTCCTCGAATCATTCTATAGTAACTTAACAGAATCTAAAATAACCGATGCCGATTATGAACACGCTCTGACGGTCTGGGATAAATTAGGTTGTAAGAATTTAGGCGATTATCACGATCTGTACTTAAAAACCGATGTACTGTTACTCGCCGATATATTCGAGATATTTAGAAAGACATGTTTAAAACAATACGGCTTGGACCCGGCATGGTACTATTCCAGTCCCGGACTATCGTGGGATACATTGTTGAAGAAGACCGGCATAGAACTAAAACTACTCACAGATTACGATATGCACTTGTTTATTGAGAAAGGATTAAGAGGTGGTATATCGATGGCGGCGAAAAGGTATTCTAAGGCTAATAATAAATTAGTGGAAGGATACGATCCGAGAAAACCCGACACGCACATATTATATCTCGACGCTAACAATTTGTACGGATGGGCTATGAGTCAACCTTTACCCACGGGTGGTTTTGAATGGGTCGATGATATCAAAGTGAATGATGCGAATAAAGGGTACATACTAGAAGTTGACTTGGAATATTCAAGTTCGTTACATAAAGATCATAACAGTTATCCGCTAGCTCCCGAAAGATTAATGGTTAATAAAGATTGGATGTCGGAATATCAACGCTCCTTGATGGGTAATACAAGGTTAGCTAACGTAGAAAAACTCGTACCAAATTTGATGGATAAGACAAAATATATAGATCACTACAGAAATCTCCAGTTGTATCTATCATTAGGTATGAAACTTAAGAAAATACACAGAGTTCTAAAGTTTGATCAAAGCCCTTGGATGGAGCCCTATATAAGGTTGAACACAGATTTAAGAAAGATAGCTACCAGCGATTTCGAAAAGAACCTGTGTAAGCTCATGAATAACTCAGTATTTGGTAAAACTATGGAGAATCTAAGGAAGCGTGTTGATGTTAAATTAGTCGGATCTAATGAGGAAGAAAGACTCAGGAAACTTATAGCCAGTCCGGCTTTTAACAGAAGCAAGATATTCGATAACGACTTAGCCGCGTTGCATATGCAGAAGAGTAATATAAAATTCAACAGACCGGTGTACGTGGGTATGAGTATTCTCGACTTGTCAAAACACTTAATGTATGACTTTTATTACAACGAACTTAAGAAGTAATACGGCGATAGATGCGAGGTGTTATATACCGATACAGATTCTTTGTTGATGGAAATACAAACCGAGGATGTGTATAAAGATATGGCAGAAAAATTAGATATGTACGACATGAGCGATTACCCAAAAGATAATCCACTGCACAGTGTAGTAAATAAAAAGGTGTTAGGTAAGATGAAGGATGAATGTGCTGGGACCCCTATAGCGGAGTACAAAGAGATGGATTGATAATGATGGTGTAACTACCTATGCTTATGGTTATGGTGGTAATACCGTACCGTTGGGAACTATGAACAACTCTTCTCGTACAAATGCCCTACCCGGTCCATCCTGAAGATAATAAAGAATAGGCTCTCCTTCTTTCGTAACCAATCGACTAATGTTATATGTCTTAAGAGACCAAATCGGATCGGTTGCGCGACGTAGGCCTCCTTCGAGTTCACCGGGCTGGTATAAATATCTTACCCTTACTCTATCCGGAAGTTTTCGTTCTTTGCCTCTCCTCGGTGCTGAAGATTCGGAAGTCACGGATTTCATTTTAATAGCATCAGATGGTTTCTTCCCTATTAATCTCGTTACTTCATTATTCAGCGCTGATACAACGGCTGATAATCGTGTCACCCATTCAGTTGATCTCAATCGTTCCGATTTCATTTCGATCCCATACTGATAGCCAAACAAACGTTCCGCTAATGTCCTGTTAAATCTTTCGACGATAGCTTGACTGCGGTGGGCCTCTCTTTCACCACGCCTGATTTCGACATCATGCTTTGTTTACAGTTTTGTTATGGATCCCATAAACTCGCAACCGGGATCTACTTGAAATAGCTTTGGCCATTTTAGTGGTCCGCGTTTATATATGCGACTCAGTGCATTAGCTACCTCAGTTGATTCTTTCGAGGTTAATGGCTCAGCCTCTTTGTATCGACTAGCCACATCCACTACTGTTAAAGCGTATTTATACGTTTTGCGTTTTACCTTATCGTGGGGAAGAAACAAGAGGTCAGCCTGATGAACTTCATTCGTTGTAAAAATATCAAACTTCTTCCTCGGTATGTAACGCGGTGCCGGTAAATATATTTGCCACATCGCTTGTTTCTTTAACCAATCCTTGGCCACATCTTTAGATACCTTAGCCGCGGTGGCTAATTTTTTTATTGCTCCTATACCTTTCCAATATCCTCGTGGGCTATAGTAAATTTTATTCATTATTAATTAATATTGATGTTTCGTTTAATACAACTCATGACTATCTTTGAATCGCATTAGCGTTTACACATAAAAAATGCCACCTGTTGTAGCAGTATAGGTATATAAATCCGGCTCCAGTGGAGTTGCGGCAGAACCATCATTACCTATACTACTCGCCTCCACTCACGATGACGCCAATTGTGATGACCCTGTGCCCACTGAAGTCGTGCTTGTCGATGCCGTAGTTGGAGAACAGGACAACGTGCTGGTCGGCGACATCTGAGTTTGTTGGAACTGAGACGTCGGATCACAGTGTCCCGGCTAATGTGTCGATTATGTGTTCCTATGGTCTGTCGAGCACTTTCACTTTCAGTTAAGAACAGATGTCACTGGTGTTGAGGTGTGGTGACCCTAGGACGACCGCTTCGAGGAAGGTCATCTGTGGTCTGTGTAGCATTGTATCGATGCAGGAGACGGTAAATTGTGGTTATGTTAACGTTGAAATGACGGGCAACATCTTGGACAGACTCTCCAGCTTCCAAACGTCCGATAGCATGGTTTCTCTGAATTTGAGTTAGGCGTGGCATTGTTGACCAAGGAGTGGTAGGTCCAAGAATTGGCCACAGTTTTATACCCACTACAGTTCGTGACAGTTGGTGCATTTTCGATTTCGCGAGAAATGGGTGCATGGTACCCACATATTCATTGAAATGGTACATTTTGGCGATTCGTTTTTTATGTTGCGTTTTTACTCGGGGCTTCCAAAATGCAACCAAAAATATTGATAACACCATCAGGCTTCACTACGTGCTAAAACTCGTATCAATATTTGGTTCCGTGTTTGTTACCTATTTGCTTAAAACCACTTGCGTTTCTTTTGCGTGTGGGTATATGTTGACAAAGTGTACAATGAATTTTGAACCCTGTATTTTCCATGAGCGTGGTGTATTGCATCTGTTGGGAGACAAGATCAGTTGATCAAGTGTCGGAGTTGCTGCTGTCTTGGCCCTGTGATTGGCCTTGTATGATAGTGTGTCATTTGTTCATGCTATCAACCACTGATTTGTTGGATCCAGACTCACTGATTGGCCCAGTATATATTGGGATGTGTTTGGTGTTGTCAGTATTTGACCTCTGCCACACTTTATAGGTGATTGGATATTTCAGGGATATCATATCAATTATATCTCCTTTATAGCCCTTGGCTTTATTTGAAACATGTCATGTCATGTCATGAGTCATGGGTCATGGGTTATGATCTTCCTCAAAGTCATAAACTGAAGAACACTATGTCTGAACAAAATCTCTAGAAAGTTATTGTAGGCCGATGAATCTTGGTACGTGGTGACCTTAGTGTGGTGCCACAATCTCCAAAGGTTTTGATGACTGAAGCTTTATCTTTACACAAACATATGGTCTGAAGGAATGCATGCATAGTCAGAAATATGAACATGAGGAATGATTTGTAGTGTAACCATGCATGGGGTTTGAATGTTATTGTCATTACAATATGTCACATTACTAACCCAGGGTTCGGGTAGTCCTGTGGGTACCAGGTCCTACCCAGGACCCACCCGCCCCGAAATACCCCAGTTTGCCGGCCCAGCACTAGTACAAATCAACAAAGCTAATTGCATCAGACATTATTTTTGTCGCTGATGCGTTAAATTTGGAAAGTTTTACCAAGTCCTTGTATGTTGTAACCTTGATCAAACAACTTCTGAGCAAGTGTCATGTTACGTTCTTTTAAATCTCTGTAGATGCATGCTCGATTATACCTCAAAAGTTGTTAAGTGTAGACAACAAAGGCACGAGCTGTTGGAATATTGCTCGACATAAAGGGAAACTTGACTATTGGAAAGTTGAAGTCATCCGTCTTCTCACTAAGTCTTGAGAGTTTTTTGTCGCTTTGAATCTTTATGTACATATCTAAATATAAAACAGGTGGTCTCCTCATCCTAGTTCAGGTGGGTAAAGTCATTTGTGAGGTATGCTTGCCACTATCAGATTGTTTCAGATTGACAACAGAGTGGAGCGCCGCCTGCTGCAGATACAGAATGAGCTGCGCACAGACAGAATGGCTTCAGAGAGGCATGATGATTTGGGGACACTCTCGTCGGAACTGAGAAATGTTAGTTGATATTGTTATAACAACAATGGTTATGCGTAGAGTTCAGACACATATGATATGTGTCCATGGTATAGTTTTTCCAATTGGAAAAAGGAAGGAGATTAGTGTGTATTACATTGTGCTTGGCACATGTATTAATTACTGCATCAAATTCACTAACAGTTTTCAACTTTATAGCTCACCTGAAAAAGTCAAGTGAGCTTATGTCATGGCTTGTTTTGTCCATCGTCCATGCTTTATGCATCATGTGTTGTAAACATCTTCTGAGAAACTACTGGACCACTGAAGCTGACACTTCACATACATGTACTTCCATACTTATTCCCACCAATGATGACACCACAATTTGTTCAAAAGGTTTCAATCTGATTTTGATTATGGTTGCCACGGCAGCCATATTGACAAAAAATAATATATAGACATTTGTTCAAACTGTAATGAAATTTGATATGAGTAGATAGTAGTGGGATGCAAGGGTTATGTTGTTTTGACCACAGTACTGGAAGCTGAAACTTTATTTTGCAATATTTTACATTTTAACCTTGATTTGGTCTTTGCACTTTGACCAAAGTGAAAGCTGAAATTTCTTGTGCCCATTACTCACCGATTTTTTGGAAGAGCAATGAATTCCTTCCAAAATGTGGATGCAGAATATTGTGCTTCTAAGGTTTGATGTACATGTACAGATTTAACAAGACCAAACATTCGGGGAATAGACAGTGTTGTCCCATTCCTGTTTAAAGACGATGCCAAGAACAACAAGCTTCTTGACTTTGGCAACGAACTGAACTTGTAACACCTCAGTGATGCTGAGACTATCCCCTCCTCTTTCATCAGGTGTACACAGAACATGCGTTCGTTGTTGACACCATGGGCCCCCTCTTCTTCCTTCTGTCTGACAAGAAACAACACATCTATGAGAGAACGTTCCGCCTTCTCCGTTATTAGTGGAAGATCTTTGGATAGCGACCTTGAGGATCTGTTTTCAAATTAATCAGTGGAACCACCACTCTACAGATTGGCCAAGAATTAATAACCATTTGGATATCTGGCATGACTTTCTGCAGAAAACCATATCTAAGGCACACCTGGTCTGTATGTGTTCGGTACATTTGTAAAGAAAGAACAGAAGACCAATGGGACACTGCAAGTTTAGTATGAAGTGGGCAGCCAGGCAGCCAGGCAGCCATCGGCCTCGAAAGGAGAGGAGGAACTGCAACAGTGAGGCAGGATTCCAACTCCTGAAAGACCATCTTCTGATGGGTTAACTCAAAGTTTGCTTCTGAATCTGCCTGTTTGTTCCATTTGGAACAAACATAATATGTCTTAAAGTATATATCATTTGCAAAAATTTTGCTTCTATTTTGTTTTTGAGAAGCTTCCCATGTTTGCCTATTGCTACCCAAGAAGTTCTCACTTGAGGGACTTTTTTTCCATTGATTTTGAACTCAAGCAAAGCAAAAGCAGCTCTTGTGACACCTGCCCAGTTTGACAATGTGGGGATAAAAGTGAATAAAAGAAATATCCCTTTTTGTGTTTTTTGTTTGTTGTTCGTCTGCAAAAATAACTCTTATAAGTGTGTGTCACTCGCAGATTTCACATATTTGGTTGGGAGCTGAACTTTGGCATGTATCTTCCTACTTATGATGTCATCATATTTTGTTCAAATAATTACAGTTCTGTATTCATGCAGAAAATGTTTTAAGTTTCATCGCTGACTGCAACTTTTGTTGAGTGACTATCTTTGTTGATATATCAAACTGTTGACTTATCCAGGTGAGCTACAATGCTGTGGCACTATTTCTGTCGTAATAGCTTATATACACTGCTTTCTGAATCAGATTCTGTGCAGTTGCTCAGCTATTTCTTAACACTTCATACATTTGTCAAGCAAGTGCTGGTAAAGCTATAATGAGATAAGATGGGACTGTTGATTGTGTCTGTTCCCCATGCAGGCTGTACAACAACAGCAGCAGTTGCCCATGCTCATTGATGAAAGAATACGGAGCCAGTACCTCCATGCTGAAACCCAGAAACACAAGGTACGAACACTAACACTAGGATTACTCAATGATAATACTTATAGCAATGCTATGTTATCTATATTATCCTTGACATTTGATGGGACTACTCAGTGATAATACTTATAGCAATGCTGTGTTATCTATTTTATCCTTGACATTTGATGGGACTACTCAGTGATAATACTTATAGCAACGCTATGTTATCTATATTATCCTTGACATTTGATGGGACTACTCAGTGATAATACTTATAGCAACGCTATGTTATCTATATTATCCTTGACATTTGATGGGACTACTCAGTGATAATACTTATAGCAGTGCTGTGTTATCTATATTATCCTTGACATTTGATGGGACTACTCAGTGATAATACTTATAGCAACGCTATGTTATCTATATTATCCTTGACATTTGATGGGACTACTCAGTGATAATACTTATAGCAGTGCTGTGTTATCTATATTATCCTTGACATTTGATGGGACTACTCAGTGATAATACTTATAGCAGTGCTGTGTTATCTATATTATCCTTGACATTTGATGGGACTACTCAGTGATAATACTTATAGCAACGCTATGTTATCTATATTATCCTTGACATTTGTTGGGACTTCTCAGTGATAATACTTATAGCAACGCTATGTTATCTATATTATCCTTGACATTTGATGGGACTCCTCAGTGATAATACTTATAGCAGTGCTGTGTTATCTATATTATCCTTGACATTTGATGGGACTACTCAGTGATAATACTTATAGCAACGCTATGTTATCTATATTATCCTTGACATTTGATGGGACTACTCAGTGATAATACTTATAGCAGTGCTGTGTTATCTATTTTATCCTTGACATTTGATGAGACTACTCAGTGATAATACTTATAGCAACGCTATGTTATCTATATTATCCTTGACATTTATTGGGACTACTCAGTGATAATACTTATAGCAGTGCTGTGTTATCTATATTATCCTTGACCTTTGATGGGACTACTCAGTGATAATACTTATAGCAACGCTATGTTATCTATATTATCCTTGACATTTGATGGGGCTACTCAGTGATAATACTTATAGCAGTGCTGTGTTATCTATATTATCCTTGACATTTGATTGGACTACTCAGTGATAATACTTATAGCAACGCTATGTTATCTATATTATCCTTGACATTTGATGGGACTACTCATTGATAATACTTATAGCAGTGCTGTGTTATCTATATTATCCTTGACATTTGATGGGACTACTCAGTGATAATACTTATAGCAACGCTATGTTATCTATACTAGCTACATAAAGAAACTGTGCACGGAGAAAATATAGATATAAGGGCACACCGTCCATATATGAAAGATAGGTTTGAACACAGCAATTATTGGAGACATTCAAACGCTCATGCACGTGCCATGCGATATGACATCATTGATGGGGGCCTATGGACGTGCAATGTGTTACTGCACGTGCATCCTGTGCAGCTGTACACAGCATGTGCAACTCAAAATTCGCTGTCACTTTGGAAAGCATGATCTGTGGTCATTCAAAAATTAAAAACTTCTCAGGCGCAGACACAAGCATACACAAGCAAATCATGCCAAGATTAACAGCTGCACAGCGTCATGAAGCCATTGGAATGATCCGAGCGGGAATGAGGCAACAACAGGTGGCAACACATTACCAATGCCATTGTAACAGGATATCGGCATTGGTGAGGCGTTATCAGAACACAAATGACGTTGCCGACCACCCACGTTCAGGACGTCCCCGAGTAATGACGCCAAGACAGGACAGATGGATTCGAGTTACACATCTCCGACACAGGTTCCAAACGGCAGTAACGACGTCCCAGACAATTCCTGGACTGCGCCGTATCCATCCCAACACTGTCAGGAATCGTTTACGTCAGTACGGGATTCGACCACGACGCCCTGCCATACGTCCCATCCTGACACACCGTCATCGTGTCAACCGTCTAAGATGGTGTCGAAATCATGTTCGCCAACCTCGAATATGGTGGAGAAATGTTGTCGTTACAGATGAATCGAGGTTCAACATTTCCCACAGTGACAGGCGCCAACGTGTCTACCGGCGTCTGGGAGAACGTTATGCACGCAACTGTATTGTGGAGAGGAATTGTTTTGGAGGTGGCTCTGTGATGATTTGGGGTGGGATAACAGCACGGCACCGAACCCCTTTGGTGGTTGTTCAGGGCAATCTCACTGGTGTTGGCTACAGAGATCAGATTCTGAGGCCTGTGGTCATTCCTTTCCTGCAACGTCATGGCCCGGGATTGACATTTCAACAGGACAACGTTCTTCCTCACACGGCTAGGGTCGCAATGGATTTCCTTCACCATAACAATGTCATGTTACTGCCATGGCCTGCAATTTCTCCAGATCTCTCCCCAATAGAGCATGTGTGGGATGAAATGGAGCGCCGTCTGCGTCGTCTTCCACATCCTCCAGATGACGTCCGTGACTTGGCACAGGATTTGAGGAGGATATGGCAGGCCATTCCCCAGGCCTTCCAGGCCCATTTAGTGGTCTCCATGCGTCGCCGAGGCACTGCTGTGATTCACGCACAGGGTGGTCATACCCGTTATTGACTTTGTGACTTTGTCGTTTGACCCCCTACTCCATTTTGATCTTCTGACGTCATCGTAACAGATGTTGTTCAGGTCCCGTTGACATTTTCTTATGGTCCGATCATTCAGCTGCTACAGCGTCTGCATCATTTTGTTCTTGCTGTGTTGTATTTCAATCCAGAATATATTTTCTCTGTGCACAGTTTCTTTATGTGGCTAGTATATATTATCCTTGACATTTGATGTGACTACTCAGTGATAATAGTTAAAGCAACGCTATGTTATCTTTATTATCCTTGACATTTGATGGGACTACTCAGTGATAATACTTATAGCAATGCTAGGTTATCTATATTATCCTTGACATTTGATGGTATTACATGGTGATAATATTTATAGCAATGCTAGGTTATCTATATTATCCTTGACATTTGATGGGACTACTCAGTGATAATACTATCATGGAACTGTTCTGGGTGAACACTACCTTCCAAATGACGTGCTGGTTTTCTTGGGGAATTAGTCAGCAAAGAGCCGGAGTCACAGGAGACTAATCACAATTTTATTTACAAGAACAATTAACAATTTACAATATACTTAGATAATAACTTAGGGTGCCACAGAGAGTCGGTACACACTCTGGGCTGTGGGAGAGAGGTCTGCTTGGTAAGAGAGTCAAACCCCTTCTCTCCTTTTTTTCTGTCCTTCTTCCTTTTCCTCCTCTCCCTGGACCAAGGCTTATAAAGCCAAGGTCACCTGACATTTAGTAAGTAATAAATATAAATGTAAACAGTAAATCACCAGTGACATACTTGCACATCCTGTTCAGGATGGCAGACGGTCGATGTACACAAAAATGGGGATTAACAAATAGGATTAGCATCTAATAAATAACAGCAATTAAATGTTTCAAGGCATATAGATGTCATGGCTCCAGGGTAATGAGCCTTTGCAATTAAATGTTCTTTAGACAATGGGTGTCGTAAATCAGTCACCATGACAATACTTATAGCAATGCTAGGTTGACTTATAGCAATGCTGTGTTATCTTTATTATCCTTGACATTTGATGGGGCTACTCAGTGATAATACTTATAGCAGTGCTGTGTTATCTATATTATCCTTGACATTTGATGGGACTACTTGGTGATAATATTTATAGCAATGCTATGTTATCTATATTATCCTTGACATTTGATGGGACTACTCAGTGATAATACTTATAGCAACGCTATGTTATCTATATTATCCTTGACATTTGTTTGGACTTCTCAGTGATAATACTTATAGCAATGCTGTGTTATCTATATTATCCTTGACCTTTGATGGGATTACTCAGTGATAATACTTACAGCAATCATCTGTTATTTATATTATCCTATAGAAGCTTTATCTTTATAAAGATTTATTTCTTCCCTCCTCTGACTTTGCTAAAACATGCTGTGATCCAACAAATAAAAAACTATGGCCCAATATTATCCTTGACATTTGATGAGATTACTTAGTAATAATACTTAATAATATGCTGATATATACATTATCCATGATTTTTTATGTTAACTTTCCAGATTGAGTCTGAACTAGATGTTGTAAAGCGTCGACTTGACCAGAGTGAAGGTAGTCGTACAGCTCTGCAACAACAGGTGAGTGAAGTGTCATAAGTGATCCAAGTGCATTGGCAGTGTAGCTCTTTATATATATACCTCTACAGCATTTGTACAATAATCAAAAATAGAAAACAATCAAAATTATCAACATTTTGCTGTTTTATTGACATGAAAAAGGCGTTCGATAATGTAAACAGAGATTGTTTATGGTTTAAAATATTAAAAAATGGCATAAACGGAAAAATGTTTGAAGCTGTTAAAAGTTTATATAGCAATGTGAAGTGCACTGTGAGAGTAAATGGTCTGTTTTCACCCTGGTTTAAGGCCCCACGGGGACTAAAGCAAGGATGCCTTGTCTCTCCATTATTGTTCTCTATTTACATTAACGACCTGGCGGCCAATATAAAAAGCATGAACTGTGGTGTTGACATAAATGATTTAAATATTGGTATTATGTTATATGCTGATGATATTTTATTATTGGCGCCCACGGAGGACAAACTGCAAAATATGTTAAACGTGGTCAATGAATGGTGTCAAAAGTGGAGACTTACAGTTAATCCTACAAAAACTAAGATTGTTCATTTTAGGCCTACCAATACAAATTGCTCCACAACCAACTTTTCAATTGGAGAAACTCTCTTGAAGTATAGTAATAATTATAAATACCTTGGTTTGTGGCTTAACGAACACATGGACTTTAAGTTCACAATAAATGAACTGGCTAAATCGGCAAGTCGAGCTTTTGGTGTTTTATGTACAAAATATTTTGATGCTGGTGGTTTTACTTATGCAATTTACACTAAATTGTATGAATCCTTGGTTCAGCCTATTATGCAATATGGTGCTTCCATCTGGGGATTGTATGAACAAAAAAAGTTAAACACTCTGCAAAACAAAGCATGTAAATTTTTTCTTGGCCTTAGACGTAATGCATCAAATGTCGCCGCCAGGGGAGACATGGGTTGGAAATCATGTGTCACTAAGCAACGCATAGAAGTATTTCGCTTATTCTTCCGCCTTAACAGTATGGAAATTACAAGATTGCCCCGTGTCATTCATGCTTGGTCAAGTAAAAGAGGGCGCTCATGGGAAAAGGAGGTTTACAAGCTAGCTAGAAACTTAAACGTCGTCGACTTGATCGATGTCCATTCAATGACACGTGGCCAGTTCACTCTCATTAAGCAAAAATTATTCAAGTGGATGAAACTGCCTGGTTTTCAGAGCTGTGGAATGATGCTAATAACCCTAATGGTAATAAGCTGAGGACCTATAGATTGCTTAAGAAGAATCTAGGGCCTGAGCCCTATGTCTTATCAAATTATATCCATAGAAACACCAGAAAATATTTGGCACTTTTACGCACTGGCAGCCTCCCCATTAACATTGAAAAAATGAGGTACAGTCGTCCCCTTGTCCCCCTTCAGGATAGAACTTGCCCTTTTTGTTTTAACTCAGTAGAGACTGAGGTCCACTTCTTAATTGATTGTAACATGTATGATGATTTACGTTATGATGTAATGAACGATATGTGTGAATGTATGCCAGATTTTAAAAACTTATCTTCAACCGAGAAATTTATATCATTACTCAGATGTGAATTCGGGTGTTATACTCTTTGTAAGCTGATTGATCAAATGTTCCAAAGACGCTTGTCACTCATTTGATTCTGTGTGCGCTTTTCTGTATGTATGTCATTATGCTTGCGAATTGTAGTATTTCTTCCTGTGATCAATGTTATACCTGTAATGCTTATGTTGAGTGTCGGTGAGGATAAATGCACCGCCTGTGTTGGGTGGGTGTGTGTGTGTGTGTGTGTGTGTGTGTGTGTGTGTGTGTGTGTGTGTGTGGTATAATCTACGTATGGTATATGTGTGCGTGTGGGGGGGGGGGGGGGGGGGTGAGCGTGTGTGTGTGTAGAGGGGGGGGGGGGGGGGGGGGGGGGGGGGGTTATAATTGCGTGTGTTTGTGTTTGCGTGTGCGTGTGTGTGTGCATGGTATGGTGTGGGGTGTGTGTGTGTGTACCTACGTGTTTGTGTATGATCGTGTGCGTGACTTTATAAGTAATTTGGCGTGTGAGTGTGAGTGTGCGTGCGTGCGTGCGTTTTCATAACCCAACCTTAATTTTAAACATTGTGTTAGTATATGTCTTATTTTACCTTACCCAGATCATGACGTTATAATTTGCTTTTATGTCTACAGTCTTGTAGGCCATACCTGGTCGGATGTTATCTTTTACTGTTCGTGTACGTGTTTTAGTATGAAGTGTATATAACATGTGACACTATAATAAACATTATTCTCTCTCTCTCTATATGACGACACAACTGTCTATAATGAAATGAGATTTGGTATCATGCTGTCTGTTCAGGTAGAGGATCTAAGGTCACAGCTAATGAGAGCAGACCAGGAGCGAACTCGCTTCAAGATGAAAATGGAGGAAGCTCGCCTGGAAGATGAGATACGAGACAAGAGGAAGCGGAGGACTAGTGAGTCAGAATATCTGTGTATTGATACGTGTATCTTGGCCATAAATTGTTCAGGGCATTACATTATCAATGCAAAAGAAATGAATACCTGACAGAATTAATGTAGTGTCTCCTTCAATTGTATTTTACCCTTTGTTTTCAGTGGATGAAGATGATGGTAGACGAGGGGTTGAAAGAGAGATTCAAGAGTTGAGGGGCCAACTTGCCCGGTCAGTAGGAGCTATCACAGAGTTAGATGAACTGAGACGAGCTGTAGAGAAGAGTGAGCGGCAGAGAGCACAGTTGTCCGACCATATTGAGGTATGCTATGCGCATCAACTGCAGATTGGTTTTCTCAGGATTTGTTATCAGTGTCGATGGATAGATCTTCTCATGATATCTTGCAAGGGATGCCCACTGAAAAGTGAAATGATACCAATAAGCAATCAAGCCCAATCTCATTAAAATCAGATCTTAGTGCTTACTACACATTTCAAGTCAAGTCAGAGCAACCTTTTGTGAACTTTGACTTACCAGGAAGTTGACATTAGCCAGTACAAAATCAAAACTGAACAAAAGAACATTCTGGAATGTCCAACAGATGCAAGATTTTATGGCAGTATTTACTACAGGCTATTGAAAGTCTCTTCCGTTTCAAATGTTTTTTTTCTATTAAAGTCGTACAGCTCGTATCTGTCATTCAGAATGGCTTTGTTAACGTTTTTGACTTTGCTTTTAGAAACCACATTCAGACTTTCACTTTTTTTATCTCGTAAGAGATGCTCTGATTGGTTGAATGAAAAGCCGTTCTTACGTAACCTGTAATGGGAGATCCTCAGATCCTCAGATGAGATTTTAATAACTGAACCTTTATACAGTGACTATTTACATTTTATCTTGCCATGTTGAAAGATTTGATAGAACAGATGTGGTCAAGGTAAAATCCAGCTTAAAGTCAATTAAGTCCTATTCCTGTAATTTTTTATCTTATCTTGCATTACTACCCTAATGCTTCAACTGCTGTTTTTTGTGAGAGGTTCTAGCTACAGAAATTGTTGTACTAGTTGTGTGGCTTCCTTTCTCCCACAGCTACCATGTGACTGGAAGTGGCGATGTCACATATAATCACATCATTGCTAATAAATAAAGCTCCCCAGTTTGGAGAACCAGATAGCATCATCTGCCTTTCCTTTTGCTTATTCTTTAGTAACCAATATGTTCTCAGTTATGTAGTGTATAGTCTGGTGTACTAGGGTACTGTACTGTACTGGTGTACTATTAGAGTAGTTATTGCCTTTGGCTCTTTCCAGCGCTTACTTCATGCGTGTGTTGTATCTGTCACCATCTTGTTTTCGTCTTGTCTGAATCATGAGCTCCCAGTTTACATCAGTCCGGTACAGGATACAAGAGCTCTGCAGATCAACGCTGGACCAACTGGTCCGATCTTCTGCATCAACCCAGATCAGACCTTGTCTACGAGAACCTTCCCAACCTAAATCCCACCGCCTGGAAGCTATCAGGCCTCCAGAATCTCTGAATCTGCTTCTACAGTGGTGGCTAAATCACGGAGATCGTCTTCCTCTCTTCTCTCCAAAAGATGGGATAAGTTTATCCAGTGGCGACGACGATCTGGAGCTACAGATCTCCATTGCCGACGTCGGATAAGATTATTCATATCTTGCAAGACTCATTCCGACAAAGACATTGCTAAGGCCACAGTAGCAGGATGGCTTAAGGCCACCATAGACTCAAGTTATTGTCAGGCCCAGGTCTCTCCTCCTCTCATAGGATCTTGTTCTGCCCATGAAATCAGAGCTCGAGCAACAAGTCTTGCATAATGCCAGTGAGAATCGCTGAACCCTTTCACATCCTTCTACCCGGGTCCTACTCATGACCCACTCAACCCGAGTACCCAGCCCTATATCTCACTATGGCTGCATTCCATATACTGCAGGCGTATATATTACCAGGTATGGACACACCTAGAGCCAACAACCCCCATGAGGTTGGAGCTGTTCCTCAACCGTGGCTCAAGTAACAATTGTTACTTCAGATCCATCATGGAGGGTTGTTTTTAGTGCTCGGATACTGTCTTCGCCAGTCATTATCTCCGAGACGTAGCTCTTGAGGATGTGCAGGGTGTTCATACTTTCAGTTCACTGGTAGTTGCACAGACACAAAATCCAGACGATCTTGATTCTTACACCTCGGGACTGACCCTGTGACCTCTTGGTAGAAATTACCCCAGATTAGGGGGTTTCAGTTTTCCACCTTTTCCAGCTGCTTGAATTGGAATTTCACCTTCTGTAGCCAGGACCTCTGACATCTCCATCTCCTAAGTGAAAAAAACCAGCAGTAGAAGCATTAAGGTAGTAATGCAGGATAAATATCCAAATGTAAAAAATATTTAGATTTTACTAAACATTTGCAGACATTGACAAAGGATCTAGAGAACCGTGAAAAGCAGAATGCCAAGCTGATCACTGAGTTAAAGGCAACAGGAGACCGCCTTGATGACACCGAGAGACACAGGTTACTGATAAATACCCAGCTGGAGGATGTTGTGCAGAGACTACGTGACACCTCACGAGAGCTGGAAAAGACATCAAATGAGTTGAAGAACACCCAACTCTCACTCCATGAAAGTGAGAAGAAGAAGGATGAGTTCAAGACACGGGCCCAGGACACAGTCAGACAGTGAGTATTATGTCAGACAGGCACTATTGAGGTTTCATGGCCAGGACATAGACAGACAGTGAGTATTATGTCAGACAGGAACTATTGAGGTTTCATGGCCAGGACATAGACAGACAGTGAGTATTATGTCAGACAGGCACTATTGAGGTTTGATGGCCAGGACATAGACAGAAAGTGAGTATTATGTCAGACAGGCACTATTGAGGTTTCATGGCCAGGACAAAGTCAGACAGTGAGTATTTTGTCAGGCAGGCACTATATGAGGTTTCATGGCCAGGACATAGTCAGACAGTGAGTATTATGTCAGGCAGGCACTATTGAGGTTTCATGGCCAGGACATAGTCAGACAGTGAGTATTATGTCAGGCAGGCACTATATGAGGTTTGATGGCCAGGACATAGTCAGACAGTGAGTATTATGTCAGGCAAGCACTATTGAGGTTTCATGGCCAGGACATAGTCAGACAGTGAGTATTATGTCAGGCAGGCACTATTGAGGTTTCATGGCCAGGACATAGTCAGACAGTGAGTATTATGTCAGGCAGGCACTATTGAGGTTTCATGGCCAGGACATAGTCAGACAGTGAGTATTATGTCAGGCAGGCACTATTGAGGTTTCATGGCCAGGACATAGTCAGACAGTGAGTATTATGTCAGGCAAGCACTATTGAGGTTTCATTGCCAGGACATAGTCAGACTGTGAGTAAAATGCACTCAGGTGTACAGTAGGACAGAACCGTCATACAGCTGTTATTGATTTAACTACTAACCAGGCTAGTCATGCCAGATGACAAATTAATTGAAATGTCCTTGCATTATTCCCTTGTTGCAGATGGAAGATGAAGGTAAAGCAACTGGAGCGTGACCTGGACCGACAGAAGCATGCATGGAAGCAGATGATGCAGCGCAATGAGCAGCTGGTGAAGGACATGGAGGGGAGCAGGCATCAGTCCAGTAACACAGTCATACACATGGAGAGTCTCAAGAGGGAGCTCGGAGACGCCTTGGTAAGCTACTTCATGAGACCATGGAACTGAAAGAGAGAGAGCTATGACTGTTGGCATACCCTGTAGGCATACCCTGTAATGTTGAATGTATTTTCAGGCTGTGAGGGCGGCACAGGATGAGCAGATTCGTCTCAAGGACATCGAGGTGAATGAGCTGAAGTCTCTGCGCATTGACCTTGAGAAGGAGCTACGAGATCTGCGCACAGTCGCCGACAGGGTATGTAGACGCTGCTTCATGAACACAGGTAGATGATGTCAGATTGTAGTTGCCTACAGGGTATGTAGACACTGCTTCATGAACACAGGTAGATGATGTCAGATTGTAGTCGCCGACAGGGTATGTAGACACTGCTTCATGAACACTGAACACAGGTAGATGATGTCAGATTGTAGTCGCCGACAGGGTATGTAGACACTGCTTCATGAACCCAGGTAGATGATGTCAGACTGTAGTCGCCTACAGGGTATGTAGACACTGCTTCATGAACACAGGTAGATGATGTTAGACTGTAGTTGCCTACAGGGTATGTAGACGCTGCTTCATGAACACAGGTAGATGATGTCAGATTGTAGTTGCCTACAGGGTATGTAGACACTGCTTCATGAACCCAGGTAGATGATGTCAGACTGTAGTCGCCGACAGGGTATGTAGACACTGCTTCATGAACACTGAACACAGGTTGATGATGTCAGATTGTAGTCGCCGACAGGGTATGTAGACACTGCTTCATGAACCCAGGTAGATGATGTCAGACTGTAGTCGCCTACAGGGTATGTAGACACTGCTTCATGAACACAGGTAGATGATGTTAGACTGTAGTTGCCTACAGGGTATGTAGACACTGCTTCATGAACCCAGGTAGATGATGTCAGATTGTAGTTGCCTACAGGGTATGTAGACACTGCTTCATGAACACTGAACACAGGTAGATGATGTCAGATTGTAGTTGCCGACAGGGTATGTAGACACTGCTTCATGAACACAGGTAGATGATGTCAGACTGTAGTTGCCTACAGGGTATGTAGACACTGCTTCATGAACACAGGTAGATGATATTAGACTGTAGTTGCCTACAGGGTATGTAGACACTGCTTCATGAACCAAGGTAGATGATGTCAGATTGTAGTTGCCTACAGAGAATGTAGACACTGCTTCATGAACCCAGGTAGATGATGTCAGACTGTAGTTGCCTACAGGGTATGTGGACACTGCTTTATGAACCCAGGTAGATGATGTCAGATTGTAGTTGCCTACAGGGTATGTAGACACTGCTTCATGAACACTGGTCAATGATGTCAGATTGTAGTCGCCGACAGGGTATGTAGACACTGCTTCATGAACACTGAACACAGGTAGATGATGTCAGATTGTAGTCGCCGACAGGGTATGTAGACACTGCTTCATGAACACATGTAGATGATGTTAGACTGTAGTTGCCTACAGGGTATGTAGACACTGCTTCATGAACCCAGATAGATGATGTCAGACTGTAGTTGCCGACAGGGTATGTAGACACTGCTTCATGAACACTGGTAGATGATGTCAGACTGTAGTCGCCGACAGGGTATGTAGACACTGCTTCATGAACACAGGTAGATGATGTTAGACTGTAGTTGCCTACAGGGTATGTAGACACTGCTTCATGAACACAGGTAGATGATGTCAGACTGTAGTTGCCTACAGGGTATGAAGACACTGCTTCATGAACACAGGTAGATGATGTTAGACTGTAGTCGCCGACAGGGTATGTAGACATTGCTTCATGAACACAGGTAGATGATGTCAGATTGTAGTCGCCGACAGGGTATGTAGACACTGCTTCATGAACACAGGTAGATGATGTCAGACTGTAGTTGCCTACTGGGTATGTAGACACTGCTTCATGAACACAGGTAGATGTGTTCTCACAATGTTTTTTAAAAATTTTACAATAGCTCTTTGATTACAGGTGGCCATTGCTCTTCAACCTTTTTTGCCCAAATTATATTGCTGCAATTGTTAAAATAATTCTTCAAGCTATGCATGACATCTTGCAAAATTCAGTGTCAGAAAGGAGTACTTTTAATAATTATTTATCAAACACACTGATGAGGCCATCAGCAAAATCATTGTCTGATAAAGATTTAATACCACAACTTGCTTGTCAGAATGCAGGATTGTATAACCTCATGGTAGAATATTTGATAACAGTAGCAGTAGCATATATTATTACAATGTTGTTGTGGTCAGATGGAAAATGAGCTGCATTCCCTGAGGTCAAGGTCAGCTGATGTTTCATCTGACCGACATCGATTGGAGGACAAACTATCAGCTGTAGAAGCAGCTCATCTCCTTGCCCAGGATCAGGCCAACCAGCTCCAGGTAGGTTCCAGGCTCAACAGCTCTTGTGCAACTATGGAAACCCTAGACACAGGGGGACTGACCTGCTTTGTATTGGGTGCTGCTACAGTGGGGAGTGTGACTGACCTCCTTTGTATTGGGTACTGTTACACTGGAGAATGTGACTGACCTCTTTTGCATTGGGTACTGCTACACTGGGGAGTGTGACTGACCTCTTTTGTATTCGGTACTGCTACACTGGAGAATGTGACTGACCTCTTTTGTATTGGGTACTGGTACACTGGGGAGTGTGACTGACGTCTTTTGTATTGGGTACTGCTACAGTGGGGAATGTGACTGACCTCTTTTGTATTGGGTACTGCTACACTGGGGAATGTCTGACTGACCTCTTTTGTATTGGGTACGGCTACACTGGGGAATGTGTGACTGACCTCTTTTGTATTCGGTACTGCTACACTGGAGAATGTGACTGACCTCTTTTGTATTGGGTACTGGTACACTGGGGAATGTGTGACTGACCTCTTTTGTATTGGGTACTGCTACACTGGGGAATGTGAATGACCTCTTTTGTATTGGGTACGGCTACACTGGGGAATGTCTGACTGACCTCTTTTGTATTGGGTACGGCTACACTGGGGAATGTGTGACTGACCTCTTTTGTATTCGGTACTGCTACACTGGAGAATCTGACTGACCTCTTTTGTATTGGGTACTGGTACACTGGGGAATGTGTGACTGACCTCTTTTGTATTGGGTACTGCTACACTGGGGAATGTGTGACTGACCTCTTTTGCATTGGGTACTGCTACACTGGAGAATGTGTGACTGACCTCTTTTGAATTGGGTACTGCTACACTGGGGAACGTGACTGACCTCCTTTGCATTGGGTACAGCTACACTGGGGAATGTGTGACTGACATCTTTTGCATTGGGTACTGCTACACTGGGGAATGTGTGACTGACATCTTTTGCATTGGGTACTGCTACACTGGGGAATGTGACTGACCTCTTTTGCATTTTGTACTGCTACACTGGGGAATGTGTGACTGACTTGCCTTTTTCCTGCAGATTGAGCTGAAGGAGCTGAGTACTGTGAAAGCTGACCTGGCAGGGCAGCATGCTCAGGCTACAGCTAAAGTCCATGTGAGTTCACCTAATTTTCAACACATAATGTAACAATGATACCCTAAGCCTGTGAGGAGTCGTCATTTGTCTGAAATCTAGCATCACTGATCTGATCATTTAGAGACCAAAATTTTCATTGTTAGCTCACCTGTTTGAAAGTCAAGTGAGTATATGTCGTGTCCTGTTTGAACACGTCCGTTGTGCGTCACAACTCATTGTAACTTCTCTTCAGAAACTACAGGACCAATGAAGCTGAAAATTCACATGCTTGTTCTCACCAATGATTACACCCAAAATTTGTTCACAAGGATTCAATTTGATTTTCAGTTCGCGATACCAGTTATATTTAAACACATATCTTTGGCCCTTACTCAGAGTTTTAGTTTACTTGTAGTGGTGTTCCATTTGGTATTTGGTGTTTGTGTAGATAGTAGTGTGATTCAACACATTTATTTTGTTTTTCATATTTTAAAGTTTGACCTGTTTGCCATGTACTGTTTGACCATGCTCCTCCATTCTCTCAAAAAGCTCTCACACTGTATTCATCATCTCCTCTGAAATCTCAAGACAAGACCATTTCTTCGCGACATGTGTTGTGTAATTGTATTGTACATGTGTTGTGTTGTGTTGTGAAATTGTTGTTGTACATGAACAAGTTGTATTGTGTACAGGACTTGAAGCAGAAGGTAGTTGAGTTGCAGCACCGAGAGAAGGCTGCCAAGGAGGAGGGTGAGCTATACAAAAGGCAGCTCTTTCAGGTAGGCCACAGTCTCAACATTCCTTCTCAGGCACCTCACAAACATCCTGTCTCAGACCTCTCCCCAACTACACTTCTCAGGCCCCTACCAAACATCCTGTCTCAGACCCCTGCACAACTACTCTTCTCAGGCACCTACCAAACATCCTGTCTCAGATCTCTACACAACTACACTTCTCAGGCCCCTACCAAACATCCTATCTCAGACCTCTGCACAACTACTCTTCTCAGGCACCTACCAAACATCCTGTCTCAGACCTCTGCCAAACTACCCTTCTCAGGCACCTACCAAACATCCTGTCTCCGACCTCTACACAACTAAACTTCTCAGGCACCTACCAAACATCCTGTCTCAGACCCCTACCCAACCTCCCTTCTCAGGCACCTCCCAAACATCCTGTCTCAGACCTCTTCCCAACCCCCCTTCTCAGACACCTACCAAACATCCTGTCTCCGACCTCTACACAACTACACTTCTCAGGCACCTACCAAACATCCTGTCTCAGACCCCTACCCGACCTCCCTTCACAGGCACCTACCAAAGATCCTGTCTCAGATCTCTACCCAACCCCCCTTCTCAGGCACCTACCAAACATCCTGTCTCAGACCCCTACCCAACCTCCCTTCACAGGCACCTACCAAAGATCCTGTCTCAGATCTCTACCCAACTACCCTTCTCAGGCACCTTCCAAACATCCTGTCACAGATCTCTGCCCAACTACACTTCTCAGGCACCTCCCAAACATCCTGTCTAAGACCTCTGCCAAACTACACTTCTCAGGCACCTACCAAACATCCTGTCTCAGATCTCTGCCCAACTACACTTTTCAGGCACCTACCAAACATCCTGTCTCAGATCTCTGCCCAACTACCCTTCTCAGGCACCAACCAAACATCCTATCTCAGACCTCTGCCCAACTACCCTTCTCAGGCACCTACCAAACATCCTCTCTCCGACCTCTACACAACTACACTTCTCAGGCACCTACCAAACATCCTGTCTCCAACCTCTACCCATCCTCCCTTCTCAGGTACCTACTAAACATCCTGTCTCAGACCTCTACCCAACCTCCCTTCACAGGCACCTACCAAACATCCTGTCTCAGACCTCTACCCAACCTCCCTTCACAGACACCTACCAAACATCCTGTCTCCGACCCCTAACCATGTCATGCCTGTACCCAGCTACATAAATTTTCTGAGGTTTTTTTTTTGAGAAGCAGTAATTTAATTTTTTTAGGCATTTTTAAAACTGACTGCTTACCATTCACATTACTATTGAAAAACCCTTTTGACCTGAATGTGCTTACATGAATGACTAGTTCATCTTTGGTTATAGGAGAGATCAGGCCACCAGCATGGGATGGAGTCCATCAAGATTGAGCTCAACGAAGCCAAGGTAAGCTTATAAATAGGTACTAGCATTTTATTTTATGTGTTTCCTTCAAATAATGAATGTTCAGAAAGAGTTGAGCTACTGTGTGCGATATGAGGTGTGTGTGTCTTCATCCTTGCGAATCTCCTGTAGGTCAGAGAAGCACATACCATGCATGAGGTGTCACGACGGTTCAAGCGGGATCATGTAGAATATGAAGCCACAATACAAGCACTCAAGGTGAGCAGGGCACGTCAGTCGGTCAACTAAGGAAGTGGAAGGGATGTGTATAGCCATCAGCATGGAACTGCTCAGAACGTTTAAACTGAGTTCATTCTATCAAATTACTTATTCCTTGATTAATAACGTCAACAACCACTGTCCGGGGATAAACATTTCATTCATTTCAGCCAATATTTAACTTTTTCTGAATTTGTTGTGGTCATTGTTAACTGAAAATAATTTTGCAATTACATGTCTTGTCTAGTCATTGTCATGGTCTTACACATGGTATTTATCAGTCAAAACAATTGATGGCTTTACACATGGTGTTTAACTTTTAAATGTCAGGGCAGGTTTAGCTTTGCTTTGAACGGTATTCAGGTTATTACATGGCGTGTCAGCTTAATGTGGGAGGAGATGCCAAAGGTCTCAGGTGTTCATCACTTTGGTGAAACCCCCAAGGATCAGTGTTAAGCCTTGTTACATAATCAAGCTGAACTCGGATTCGAACCCATGATCACAGAATACTGGCAACGCTAAACTGAGGGGGACTCAACTCTGCACTGCGACTTGTGGCGCCCTAAAACGACACGTAACGGTTGGAGATATTGATGGTCTTATACATGGTGTTTTAACAGTTGGAGATATTGATGGTCTTATACATTGTGTTTTAACAGTTGGAGATATTGATGGTCTTATACATGGTGTTTTAACAGTTGGAGATATTGATGGTCTTATACATGGTGTTTTAACAGTTGGAAATATTGATGGTCTTATACATGGTGTTTTAACAGTTGGAGAATTGATGGTCTTATACATGGTGTTTTAACAGTTGGAGATATTGATGGTCTTATACATGGTGTTTTAACAGTTGGGGATATTGATGGTCTTATACATTGTGTTTTAACACTTGGAAATATTGATGGTCTTATACATGGTGTTTTAACAGTTGGAGAATTGATGGTCTTATACATGGTGTTTTAACAGTTGGAGATATTGATGGTCTTATACATGGTGTTTTAACAGTTGGGGATATTGATGGTCTTATACATTGTGTTTTAACACTTGGAAATATTGATGGTCTTATACATGGTGTTTTAACAGTTGGAGATATTGATGGTCTTATACATGGTGTTTTAACAGTTGGAGATATTGATGATCTTATACATGGTGTTTTAACAGTTGGAGAATTGATGGTCTTATACATGGTGTTTTAACAGTTGGAGATATTGATGGTCTTATACATGGTGTTTTAACAGTTGGAAATATTGGTGGTCTTATACATGGTGTTTTAACAGTTGGAGATATTGATGATCTTATACATGGTGTTTTAACAGTTGGAGAATTGATGGTCTTATACATGGTGTTTTAACAGTTGGAGAATTGATGATCTTATACATGGTGTTTTAACAGTTGGAGAATTGATGATCTTATACATGGTGTTTTAACAGTTGGAGATATTGATGATCTTATATATGGTGTTTTAACAGTTGGAGAATTGATGGTCTTATACATGGTGTTTTAACAGTTGGAGATATTGATGGTCTTATACATGGTGTTTTAACAGTTGGGGATATTGATGGTCTTATACATTGTGTTTTAACAGTTGGGGATATTGATGGTCTTATACATGGTGTTTTAACAGTTGGAGAATTGATGATCTTATACATGGTGTTTTAACAGTTGGAGATATTGATGATCTTACACATGGTGTTTTAACAGTTGGAGATATTGATGGTCTTATACATGGTGTTTTAACAGTTGGAGATATTGATGGTCTTATACATGATGTTTTAACAGTTGGAGATATTGATGGTCTTATACATAGTGTTTTAACAGTTGGGGAAATTGATGGTCTTATACATGGTGTTTTAACACTTGGGGATATTGATGGTCTTATACATTGTGTTTTAACAGTTGGGGATATTGATGGTCTTATACATTGTGTTTTAACAGTTGGGAATATTGATGGTCTTATACATGGTGTTTTAACAGTTGGAGTTATCAGAGGAGAAATCTGCCTGTAAGATTGCCAAGAGAAATGAAGACAAATGGAAACAGGAGGTTGACAGACTTACAGCACAGCTCACAAAGTAAGCTCAGGGTATTGGGAAACAATTATTCACAGAAAGATTTCCAGTTTTGTCAAATATGACCTTATGTTACTTTATCATTTTTATGATCATGTGCAAATTGGAAAATATGTACAGTTTTTAACATTTATTAAGTCTTTGAAAGGCATTTAGAAATGATACACATAAGGAAGAGAATTTATGGATGTCAATTTTTTTAGTATGAGGAACACAACGTTTCGAAGTATATACTTACTCCTTCATCAAGTGAATCAATGCTATGAGGCAGAGAACATTTATATGTGCCTGTAAGAACAACAAAAGTAATAAGATAACAAAGGTGGAAACTTAACAAGGGAAGCCAACAGATAACTGGCACTGATAGGTGATTAGCAATGGACAAATAGAAGCCAACACTTAACAGTAAATTAGTGCTGATCCGGTGCTAATTATCTAGCTGGCTTCCATTTGTCCATTGCTATTTCCATTCTATTACCTATCAGTGCTAATTACCCCCAGCCATTGTCCACTGCCTTATTACCAATCAATGATAATTTAAGTCCTGACTTCCAGTTGTCCATCGCTATCAACTATCAGCGCTAATTAACTGTTAAGTGTTAGCTTCAATTTGTCAATTAAGGATTGACTGTTTTTTTTTTTCGGTTCATTGAGGTATGAATCGAAAAACCGATGTGCAAACTGTATGAATTTTGCTAAATGTCCTGTGCATGACTATCGATACGCTTAAGCAGAAAGGGAATTCCCTGGAATGTAATTTTGGGATTCCCGGACATTCCGTAGTAACGAAAGTAGTCCGTCTCAGTGGGCGCGGCTTAATTTTTTAGACTCATTGGGAAATGAATGCAATAACACGTGACCAATTCAGCTAATCAGAATGCAGGAATATCAATGAACACAACAACAAAAATTTGTTGCTTAAAAAAGTAATAGTCTTGGTTCTCAGGTCTGCTGCATGTTTCGTTTTATTTCCATTTAAAAAAAATAAAATCCTTAAATATTCCACGTCTCAAACTCATGACCCTGGCAGTGAAATGCTACAATGCAATCCAATATCATGTGCAGTAACTTCCCATGCCCACTGCCTTATCTTGTGTTTTGGTCATGGTGGCATTGGAGTTTGTGTGCCTGTTTTGCCGTTTGCAAATTTGGTCATGAAGACATGAAATTTACTTTAAAACATCAAATCTTGAATAAAAGTAATATAATGGATTACAAACATAAGTCCAGATACACAATGAACACTTTTATAGCCAGATATAGTGTAATAACAGGACTAACTTGCATACATCAGTACAGATTTGTTGACATGCTTCTTCCCATCTTGTGTGCTCATGATAACGTCTTCGCATAAAAGTCACAGCTCATTGTATACTTGTATTATGCACACACTGGTAGTCCAACAGTAGTCAAATACTGTATTCTAATTACAAATGTTTCAGGTATGAGGAAGATAATGCCAAGCTCATTCACAGACTGGAGCTTGTCAAACAAGAATTTGAAACTCAGGTGAGCCTTTATATTGTATTATGCTTTAGGAAGTGAAATTGTGCTGTCTAATTCATGAGGTGAATCAACAGTTTGCTCAGCCATGAGTGTTGTGTGCTTGCATTCTGTGTAGAAGATGCTTGGCAGTGTATCCTGTACCAGTATTCTGTGCATAGGTTCTGAAAGAGTGTAAAACAAGATTGATAATATGGTAATTGAGGAGTGGTTAATATTAGCTGTATCTCACTGTTAAAAGTACTGCTTCTCAAGTCCTGTTGTAACATGCTAAAGAGTGTGCGTGCTGCCTTTACCCGCTTTGACTAACCTTTGACCTTTCATTCCCCTCTTCCAGGCATCATTTGGGTCGGATTTGTTTTCAGTTTCAACTGTCACACAAAACCATGTAAATATCTCAATGTCTGTTGTTAGTGCTAGACCTTCGCTCACCTATCAATACAGACACATACTTTACACTGCACTTCCGTGTTTCACAAATTGATCTGTCCCCATGTGTTGGTAGTGGCTTCAGTACTCCATCACTGCTGCAAGCCTGGAGACGCTTAGACACACCGGTTGAATCATAATGTATGTGGTCATGGGTAGAGCTTCTGTACATATTCTTCAGAGTGTGAAGTAGATTCTAGGAGTCAACTTTGAGTTGTTGTTTATAAATATTTGCCATCTTCCCGAGGCAAGTGTGTCCACTTGCCTATATCAAAACCTAGAGGTCCTACCCTTGCCAATTCAAGCCTATTTTTCTTGGCTCAATCATAACACCACGTAACCCGTGTAGAACAGGATACATGCTCTCATCTCTTGATACATGGTGATTCCTTTTATGTCCTTTCATCGAACACTCTGCTTGTGTGGTCCCACTGGGCATTGTCTGCTTGCAATATTACAGTTACTGTATTTGATTATATTATAATGATTTTTACCAACACATTAAGCTCCATGGGGATTCCTGGGCTGCAAGCGTCTCAAGTGGCTCTCAGTTAGGATTGGGTAGTCACCTTCGTGGTTTTATTTTGAATTACACCTTTCAGTGATTTGAGCAGAAGCGATATGTTCGGTTTGATTTCATATACTGTAAATCATGAAATTAATGCGTCTTCAAAAGAGAGCCTAAAGACTCAATATGAATGCGACACCCCCCTCCTCTCAAACATCAGTGGATGTATTTCTAATGAAAATGTGCTCTGTCAGGTTTACAGGAGAATCCTCACCTTAATCCAGCCTTACATTAATCCAATCACACACCAAATAGCACCGCTTTTTAGCGCTGAGTAGAGTACTTCTGCTAAAACAATACATGCACACTGGCTTGTGCCTTTGCCGCAGTCGCAAAGAACAAAGACACTGTGTTGTGTGGGTGGTGTCTGTCTGGACTTGCAGGTGTGATCAGTGATGACATAAGTGAGTAGAAGTCTTGTCTTGACCCCAGCCGTGACAATTCACAGGATGTAATAGTGTTTGAATTACATTGTTTATATACTTCTTACAAGTGCTGCTCAATAAACAGTGATGTGGAATACATAGTTGTTTGTTTTCAGCGTATGTCTAAGTTGGTATATCAAAAATGTCTTATTGTTGATATAAATGCAATGTTTAGCAAAGACCACTCGCCAGTGTGCGAAATACGCTACAGTCGGAAAGCGCACGTTAAATCTCCTATATCAGTCAGTCAGACCACTCGCATTTTTCACATTTAATTCACGCTTGCGTTAATTTCAAGATTTACAGTACACTTTCTGGTTAATAAGCACGCCCTGTGATTGGGGCCTACTTAATGTGTTTGCTTCAATTTGAACTCTGCTGCTGCAACCACCACTACAATTGTTTTTCTCAACTACATACTTGTGAGACTTAGAGACTTAAAACCTAATATATCTCCTACATACCCCAAGGGAATGTTTCTGACATGTGCTAGATTACCTTGAGGGTTAAGGTCACTCAGTGTGAACTATAGGCATCCAGAAGACCTGTACACACAATGATTTGAGTAATTCCTGCGAATCATCTACCTCTATTACATCATAGCCATAAATCCTGTATTTTGGCTGCAGACACACTATAACTAAATCTTCAGATTTTCAACAGAAGTCCTCTTCACTGTCAACTTCACACAACTTGTTGTTCCCCTAATAGCACATCTAGGTAACCAGCTCTTCTGTGCATAAAGGCGGGAAAAACTTCACTTCTTTCCTGTGTGTGCTAGAGTCAACACCTGTTTTTTGTTTTTGCTCTAGCACTTGGTATATGTAGTCACACTGATTAGCTAATTTCTTCAGAAATACTATATTATTTGGTCTGATCCGGCTGGATAGGTAAGTATACCGGGGTTGATTTTTTTGTGTTTTCACATATTATGGCGTCCTCCACAGTGTGGTCAGTTTATGGTCACTGGCGATCCTCAAAACTTCTGCTGGAAGTGCAGGGAAGCCTTATGCACGGAGGAGTCACGATGCGACCTTTGCTCTCCCCTTTCCAAGTCCTTCTTCATGAAGTTGGATGCCTCCATTGTTAAGGCTAAACACAAGGAGGATGCCAAGAAGAAGGTGGACTCGATCCTATCTTCCACCAAGGAGACCATCTCTACACCATCTATCCCTTCGACACCCCAACCAGATTCAGCCTTGGGGGTCCAGATCAACGCCCTGGAAAAGTTGTTTGCCCTACAGCAGGCCTCCATGGAAGCTCTGATCAACACCCGATGAACCACCATCACTTTCAGAAGTAGACAAGCCAAGAGGCCACATGGGGTTAAGCAGTCTACTGAGCCCAAGTGATCTGCGGCGACAACCAGCATGTCCAGATCACGACTTCCTGATGAACAGCGGGGTAGTGGCAAGCACGCCTTACCCCCCCTCAGAGTCAACAAGCCGATCCACCAAAGATCCTGTATGGCTCCAGCACATACCTGACCATCAGCCAGCACGTCAGCTAATCCTACCAGAGTCATGGACACCATTGGATGATGGGACTCTCGGATAAGGACCTATCTATCTATGGACATTGGCACTTACCTGAATTGGTTAACCTCTGGAATTCATCACGCGATGCCACCTCTACCAACATCCTTTGATGATGTCCCGGGAGAAACCCTGATGTCCATTCGAAAATTGGATGCACATTACGACCGACCACAGGATTTTTTACGTTCTCGATCACCGGTACAAGCTACATTTTCTCAAGCGCCCTCGACTTGTATCCCGCCTGGTGGGACGCAGGTTTCACCAGAGGGGTGCCAAATTGGACTCAGCCATCCTTGCCACTAAGACCCTTATCACCAAACGGGCCATTTGGAGATTGCGGGATACCAGCGAAACCCGGGGGTTCTACTCCCCGGTGTTTTTGGTACCGAAGAACTCCACAGAGATGAGAATGATTATCGATCTCAAAACACTCAACAAGAAGTACTTGGTCCCGCCTCCTAGATTCCCGATGGAATCAGGCAGGAAGCCACATTCATCACTTGGAACAGGAGAATGGGTCATCAGCCTCGACCTTTAGAATGCTTATCTCCATGTGCCAATCCACCCCTGCATCCCCCCATCATCTGCCTCCAGTGGTTAGGTGTTTATTGAAAGAAGTGATGTTATTCTCGCTTTACGCACAGAAGAGCTGGTGAGCTAGATGTGCTATTAATGGAACAACTATTTGTGTGTAGTTGACAGTGAAGAGGACTTCTGTTGAAAATCTGAAGATTTAGTTACAGTGTGTCTGCAGCCAAAATACAGGATTTATGGCTATGATGTAATAGGTAGTATTCTTAGAATTATTAAAAAAATTAACTATTGTTTGATATTTATAAATTGCATTTGTTGAAACTTACTTTATAAGGTCATATCAACTTTTGCTTGACCTCTGTGTAAGGTCAAGGTCACTAGATGTCAAATTATGAAACCTGGTTCAAATTCCATGAAAGTTTGGATGAATGTATGAGAAATCTGAGCTTTTACTAATCGCTTATGATATGACTCAGTTATTAGCTGAATTCCTGTCCTGGCTGTGTCAAAGTTAGTTTTAAAGTCATTCACTTATGAAATGAGATATAAATAGTTTCATTCAGAAATCATTGGCAGTTTATTGTAAAGGCTTCATATTTGTAACAGGGGCGGTCGGGTAGCCTAGTGGTTAAAGCGTTAGCTCGTCACGCCGAAGACCCGGGTTCGATTCCCGACATGGGTACAATGTGTGAAGCCCATTTCTAGTGTCCCCCGCCGTGATATTGCTGGAATATTGCTAAAAGCGGCGTAAAACCATACTCACTCACTCACTCATATTTGTAACACCACGTAAGTTTACAAAAAGTAATGTTCTCACTTGTGATTTTATGACATTAAAGGTCAAGATCACTCGAAGAAAGTTTAGCGTTCAGGAAGCTTGTGTACATGATGGCTTGAGTGATTTATGAATGAAATGTGATGATGATACATGGTATAGGTGATCTCTTGGGCGGGGGTCCTGATAGCATCTAGTTTTGTGTGACCTACATAATGTAGTCAAATTCACTTGAGGTCAAATTATGAAACAGTTAAAAGTTCATGAAATATCAGATTAATTCATGCAATATCAAAGGTGTTTGCAATAAAGATGAAGTCAAAGCAACTAACTCAACACTTATCATATGTCATGATTGTGTCAAGGTTACTTTTGAAGGTCGTTCAGTAATATTTTTAGTATGTTATGGAGACTTGTTATTTGTAACACAACCATTGTTTGCAAGAAGTAATGTTCTCGCAAGTGATCTGTTGAAGATCAGAATTACTCAGTGGGAAGTGGAAATTGATGGTCAAGGTAATTTTATAAGCCCTTCTGGTTTAAGGTAGCTAGAGTTATAGTTAATTAGTTTCAAAGGTGTACTGCATTGACCATGTGTGAGGTCAGCTGTCACCTAATGAGGTCAGCTGTCACCTAATGTCGTAGAAAAGGTTCATGATCCATGTTTCAGATGGGAAAGTTTGGGGGCATTCAGGAAATGGTGAGGAGGAGGAGGCTGCTTCGTATTTTCATGAAATGTGGTTAACTCTATTTAGCTAATAGTGGGGTTAAACCATACTCACTCACTCCCTTTTCTGTCTTTTCCCTTTCATTAAATGGAGTACCTATTGTCACATGTTCTGTATTTCTAAGAGCTTCTGTTTTCTTCGCATTCAAGGCAGTAGCAGTCCCTGACATTGTGATGAGCATTTTATTAGAATTTCTCTTGATGTGAGCAATTTAGAGCACATGGCAGCTGATGGATGTTGTAGTGAATCCATGTGATCTGTGCTGACACAGATGGTGTATGTTTCAGACACATCTGGCTGAGGATGACATAAGCAGGTAGGTGCCCTTTATATAGAGCCACCACCATCTGGAAATTTACTTAGAGTTGACTAATGTGGAATGGAAGTTATAATGCATGACTTGGCTCATTGTGTGTCATTTTGCTTCAATGGTACGGGTCATTTCTCATGCTGTTAACCCTTTGTTTGCCTTGCCGCCTGGTTATAGCTGGGATATTGCTGACTGGCATAAACAACATTCCCTCACTCACTTTGAATACTTGTGTAATTTGAGGTTGTGTTTGCTGCAGAGTACGGCGTCTTGATGATCAACTGGTGGCAGCTCAAGCAGAACTGAAAAGACTGGAGGATCAACAGACAGTAAGTTATCTTGCTTTATGACATTCCAGTTATGACTACTGATACAGCTGGTACACACTGAGTGCATCCGTACCGTATTTTCGGGAGTATAGTGCACACTTTTTTTTTACAAAAAACACATCTGTGTAGAAGGGCGTCCGCAATATACACGCAATAATGAGTTTTGATGTTTTTTCCCCCAATGGAAAGACATTACCGTGAGCACGTAAATACCATGTCAACAAATCCATACTGAAGTACGCAAATTAATCATGTAATTACACAGTCTGGCTATAAAAAATGTGAAGCGATCAGAGGATCGCACAACTCACCGTTATGAACAGCAACCACGGTCAGATTACCGCTATTGACGCATTGAAACAAACTTTAATTGCAAGAGAATGGATACATATATCATAAATGCCATACTTTGACACGTTAAAAGTCATAAATGTTATAGTTTGACGATTCTATGTCAACACGTAGTTCTCGCGATCACATGCGCAGGAGCCCTGACGGTGACTGGTCAAACTGGTTCCATATGAAAAATGCTAACCGGCAATAGTGATCAGCTGCTTCGCTTAGGGTTATAATTATTTTAAATATATTTAGTAAAAGCTGCAACTAAAATAACAAGATATTGGAATATGTTATTCCTGATAAAAAAATAGTTTCAGATACAATTTTTGCCGATCCTTGCATTAAAATCCTGTAAAGTCATATCATTGGGTGTGTCTTGACCGAATCACCGGTAGATTCCAAGAAAACGTGGATGCATGGTTGCTTCATAGCTTCAGAGCGCAGAAACGGCTTCGAGAGCATCAACGTCTTCTAGCACCTGGTCTTGGCCTTTGTATTGCTGCCTTCCAGTGAGTTGAATACATTGATAGGTCAGATGTCCTGCTGTACCCTTCAGTTTTGTTGTCTTATCTATGGGGATACCCTCCTGTGACGATTTAAGCATCTTCAATGTGTTTGGCATCACCAATGCCCCTGACGCCTGTGATGTCTTTGCACCCTTCCTGCATATGACACTCAGAATCTACTGTCTTAAATTCATCGACAAGTGCATCTGAATGAATCCACGTGTGATGGACCACATCAGCATGAGTAAAATTAGTTAAGGCATGATACAGGCGAGCGGTGGTGGTACTTTGAAGACACCAGATGATTAAAAACAGCCTGGGGTATGTTGTTCCAAATGTCAGCCAAACATTGTCCCATCATAGTTGTCATTTCCATCTCATCCAAGACGTTATCTCTCAAAGTTGAGTAGTGCAAGCATTGCTAAAATGTTCTCCTGAACGCCTGAAGGCCTTTACACGACCATCAGAGTTGTGCAGATGAAACCTGGACTCATCAGTGAACAGTATACTGTTCCAGTTTTGTCTTCAATTCAATTCCTTGTTTATTGTATGAAAGGCCACATGCCCAGATACAACGGAGTAACATAACATATTTTATAAGATACAAAGTCAAGGTAACAATTCACTTCGTAACAAAAACGCAAGATGTATGTACTAAGCCAGTTGATTTTGTGTTAGAAGATCCTTGCAGGACAGTAATGAAGACAATGTTATAGCATTAAAATGAGATAAAGACCACTACGGTAAGTACTTGTTTCTTAGATTTTCGTATATAGGGCAAATATACATAAAATGGTATTCATCTTCGACAACACTGTCACAGAATGGGCGTAACCTTAGGGATTTCTCAATAGATGAAAATCTCCCTGTGTTAATTTTTAAATCATTCAGGCCAAGTCTAAAACTAATAATGATGTTACGAAAATTCCTATACCGTAAGTTTGACAAATAAGATTCTGGTTCAAGCAATGACTTGAACTGGCGATAAGTATCACATCTTGAACTTTCATAAATATCTGAATGCCATTTCTGATGAAACATATCAATGGCACGCATGCGAAAGTACTTAATGAAAACATTTGCATTACCAATTGTCTGGGACAGCTAAATGAAACCAAAGCCATATGTAAAAAGCAATGTACGTATAGAAGAAGCCCATGTGTTCTTTCCAAGACTATCGAGGTGTACAAGCATGTTGTAGGCTTTCTTAGGTAAACGGTGTTCAGGCATAATTATTATTTTACACCAATACTTCAAGCAACGAGTGTAAGATATAATGTACAATGGGAATCTCCCGCATTCTGCATGAACCATATTACTTGGTGTTGACATACCAACATTCAAAAACTTTTTACAAGCGAGGAGATGAACCTTTTCAATTGTATAGAACTCTTTACAACCCCATATCTCAGACCCCTATATTAAAATAGGTTGTATTTGAGAATCAAATAATTTAAAATACATTTTCGGTGAAATAACTCCAAGCTTAGAGATAACAGAGTGGACTTGTAACTGAGCTTTCTTTGCTCTATTTGTGAGATTAATTACAGACTTATTCAGATTCAGTGTGTGAGTAAACAATATGCCAAGGTATTTGTATTCATTCACAACATTAATACATTTACCTTTAAAAAAACATTTCTCTCTTGCGGCGACTCGACAACCTCTATGAAATATAACAATATGTGTTTTATCAAGATTAACACTAAGTTTCCATTTATCTGAATATTGCGAAGGTATGTGAAGCTGCTTCTGTAGACCAATAATAGTACTTGACATCAAAATCACATCATCTGCAAAAAGTAGCATGAAAAGTTCCAATATGTCAGGGAAGAGCTGGACGCCATGACTACCAGACTGCATGATATCAACATATAACTCATTTATAAAAAAATGCCTCCGTGGTCTAGTGGTAGAGCGTCCGCCCGGAAAGCGGAAGGTCCGGGGTTCGATCCCCGGCCGTGTCATACCAAAAGACATTAAAAGATGGTACATGTTGTTACCCTGTCTGGCGTTCGGCATTAAAGGGCTAATACAAGGACTGGTTGGCTCAGAGTCAGTATACTGTGTCCTTGTGGGGTATTCATGTTAAACTGCGGCATGGTATCTCAGTGTTCTAGCACTATAAATCGGCATCAGTCCGGACTAGTACAAGCAGCCACACACACACCTCACCTCACCATTTATAAAAAATAAGAAAATTATAGGACTTAAAACACATCCTTGGCGTAAGCCTATCGGACAATAAAAAAAGTCACTTTTAGTATCACCATAGCGAACACATGATTTTACATTTGCATACATTGATTTAACAATGACAAGCATTTTGCCTCCTAAACCCTTATTTTTCAAACAGCTCCACAATTTAGCTCTATTTACAGAATCAAATGCCTTTTTAAAATCAACAAACACAACAACACATATAACTTACGTTTTCTGTATGATAAATATTTCTCAATGACTGCATACAAAGTAAATATGTGGTCAAAAGTCGAATAGTCCTTTCTAAATCCCTCTTGTGTTTCAGGGATCAAATCTCTCATATTTGACCACAGTGTTAATCTATTATTGATGATAGAGGTAAATGCTTTACCAAGAATACTAGTGAGAGATATACTCCAGTAATTGTCAGGATTGTTTACGTTACCATTCTTGAATAACGGAATAATAATAGATTTTGACCAGACAGAAGGAAAAACACCTGTATCAAAAAAACGATTGAAACATTTAACCAGAAAAGGCATAATATCAGGTAATAAGTACTTAATAACACAATTAACCCCAGCAGATTTACCAGTTTATCAATAAGGCAACCTGAATCAGTTCTCCCATTGTAAAATGTAGAACCTGCTGGAGGGACATATGTACACAACAACATTAAATCAAATTTTAAATTAAACACAGATTTTGGAAATTTTAAACATATGAAGTTTTCTAAATCGCAGCTAAGGTGCATGCACTGGTTCACAACATCTTGCCTAACGCAGAGACACACACTACCAGAACATCTACCTGAAAACTATGTTTTAACTAGTAGCCAGTTTAAGTCTGGGAAATCTGATAAAAATGTCTCCAAGAGACACACAATATCAAACGATTGGTGGTAGGCAATAAAGTCACAATCATCAAACATTTTATGTAGGCAACAAATGTTCCAGGACAACAATGACAAATGTTTATTCGTTGCTGGTGTTTGAGTTATTTCCATTCTGTGTCGAATACTGGCCCTGGCCAGATTTTTATTTCCTATGGTAGCCACCACGCTGTGAGGTACTCCTAAATTGTCGTTTGGAGCTCTCTGATTTGTGTGTCATGATTATGTTCATCATTACGTGGTTTAGTTAACAGCTTACCATTCTTGAAATATCCAATATGTCCTCTATCTTTCACGGCTTTTAGTTGTTCACGTTGGCGGATAGTTAAGTCACTTGAGACTCCATAGCTGATATTCTTGAGTGTTGTTCGAGCTTTCAATTCTTCAATCTTGTCATCAGATAGCCGTCTTTTAGCAATGAGCGGTCTTGGTTTAGAGGTATCCTCACGATGACGTCATCACTAACCCATGTCTTGGTCTGAACATGGCTGTTCAAGATATCTAGTACCTTGACCTTGCAATCAGTGTGCGTCTCCCCTGTTTCCTCTGTCATGTTATAGAGGATAACGTTGTCACGCCTGCTAAATGCCTCTAGCTTGTCGATCTCGCCATCGAACCGTGCTAGTTTCTCTTCCACCATTACTATCTTGCCGGAGATCAAACCAACGTCCTTGTACATTATCTCTGATTGTGTTGTACAGTTTCCATGTCACTCTGGAGATTGGTCATCTTTGATTCAATGTTATTAAATCTGGTACTCAAAGCTTGAACCTCATTTGAAAGTGTGGTTATCTGTCTTCTGAGGTCACATTTCACGCATTGGATTTCCTTCAAAATGGTATCTTTGACTTCTGCTAACGTCAGTAGTCCGGGATTCATTTCGATGTCATTTGCACACAGGATTCTATGTGTTACTACCTGACGGTGACGTGGAAACAAACTAGGGCTTATCACTGGACATCAGGACCAGAAGTTGTTATGGTTCTGACACCCATTGGTCTCAACCCAGGAATTGGTTGAGCTGTTAATGTGGCAGTTTGGTATGAATTCTGTAAGATGCACCAACCAAATATGGTTGCCTTGTGGACGACTGGCCAGTGACAAAGCATGAGTGTTGCCCTGCCGTAGATAAAATCTCCAAAGAGATGATATTGTGTCTCCATGAACATTAAAATGATTTTCAGCAAGCCGTGGCATTGCTCAAGCATTATTCAGCTTAAACAAAAGTTTTTTTATGAGCACCTGATAGCTGAACAATCATTGTGTGCTGTTCACATTCAGAAAATGTGTGGGAGTATCATGCTTCCAATGGACACAATTTTTAATAATATGTATTGAAAGATATATGAAACACGGTTACTATTTTCAGGCAGTGCTTAAAGCCTTCATGTTGAGGATCAGAGCATCAGACCTCATGGGATCTGGGTGTGGTTTTACAACACTTAGCTGAAGCATCAATGCAGTTTCTTGCACAGAAAGCTGTATATTTGTCAGATGACTGCTTTGATTGCAGCTGCACGCATCGGTGAAGTGCATGCATTAAACTTTACGCAAGTGCAGCTTCACAGAATACCTAGTTGGACTGTACATCTCGGTCTGATGTGGGACTTTGTTGCTAAGAATCAGCAAGTGCATAAAGAGAACTGCTGGTTCACATTGGCTATGATCCAGGTATAGGAAGATACAGATGACCTATTGTGCCAGGGTTACATAAGGAGACAATGGAAACATTTGTTTCTTCCTCTTTTGGGTTAAGGCATTCATCCTACAGGCATATAGATCCACCTCAGGCAATAATCCACTTGAGATTACATTTACATTAGACATTATTATTAGCACCTGTTAAAACAAGCGCCCAAATAGTACAAATGATTAATGTGACTCTACTGTGGAATGCAGACATAGGTTTACTGTGTTGACTGTTGATTGTTAGAATAGAAAGCTCCTCTCAGTCGTATCTGTACTGATACGTATGAGCTTGGCAGCATGTGGTTTGACAAGAAGTGAAGTATTTCAAAGTAAAGAAGATAGAAACATGTCACCATTCATACAAACGTCTTCATAATATACAAAGGGAGTGTTCTTTTCAGAGCATTAGGTAAATGTTCCACTTGTCTGATGCTATTCATTTGTACCTTCTCAAATGCAGAAAGACATTGCATTCTCTGTAAACTATGTATATATACTTAGGGTCATAGCCATGAGTCATAGTTGTGGGTAACATTCACTGAGATTGATGGTGACTGAGTTTGACTGCTTTGAGACCATGCTATAATGAGATGTCCTATCCGCAGCATATTGTCCAGGAGATGGCACTTGAAGTGGAGGCAGTGTTGGAGGCAGGAAAACTGGATGCAGTGTCCAAGTACCAGGTGAGTGGCATGACTAGGAGGCAGTGTCCAAGTACCAGGTGAGTAGCATGACATGGAGGCAGTGTCCAAGTACCAGGTGAGTGTCATGACATGGAGGCAGTGTCCAAGTACCAGGTGAGTGTCATGACATGGAGGCAGTGTCCAAGTACCAGGTGAGTGTCATGACATGGAGGCAGTGTCCAAGTACCAGGTGAGTGTCATGACATGGAGGCAGTGTCCAAGTACCAGGTGAGTGTCATGACATGGAGGCAGTGTCCAAGTACCAGGTGAGTGTCATGACATGGAGGCAGTGTCCAAGTACCAGGTGAGTGGCATGAAATGGAGGCAGTGTCCAAGTACCAGGTGAGTGTCATGACATGGAGGCAGTGTCCTGGTACCTGGTACACATTTATGTACGTTCAATGTCACTGCACTGTTTTAGTCCACAAGAGGACACTTAGTCTGTATCTTGATGTTGTGTTATCACCCCCATGCGATGGTTCCCCCACTGAGTTGAGGGGGCCTGTGTTACATGGATGTCATGGCTGTGTTCATCCTACATTACACACTGCCATGGAGGTACGCCTATCCTTATGAAGTATCAGAGACACTTATGTCCTTATGTGGTATTGGAGGTACTTCTCTCCTCCTTAATTGACTACAAGAATCACCGGCCAATACTGGGACACTACAATATAATATCAGCAACTCCAATCACTTAGGTACATGTCAATACCTTACAATACATATAACATAGCGTCAATACTCCGAGATCACAAATCACTGAGTTTGTACTTTCATATTTTTTGGTAAGCTGCTACTCATTATTACAATATATGCATATGATTACATCTGTCCTCAATATACACAATCCTACACGAAACAAATAAATGCAAAGACTTACGTCAACCAGTGTGAGAGGCTTTCACAATGTCAGTCCATTTCTGGAACCTTGTAGGAGAAAAATACTGATTGTGGCAAATTATTACTCTGCCCTGCTATTTAAACTGACTCCCATTACCCAAGCTACCCCTGACCTCCCTATTATTACACCAATTAATTCCCCAGCCATCCCTAGTTATGCTTCCCTGAATCTGACCTGCTCCCATCGTATTACCTGACAGTATCTAACGACAACCCCCCAAGCTTAATATGCTAATTTAACCGTACCATAATAACTCTATCTAAAGTACTATCATCCAATTAATATAAATAAACTTATCTGTGATCTTGACAGCAAGGTCCAAGTACCAGGTGAGTCTCAGGGATATCTTTCAGAGATAATCTTTACATAAAACTTTTCTCTGGTTGTACTTTCAGCCCATCAATGGTTTGACAAAAGGAGCAAAGACTATCATGTACCTGGTCACAGAGATGAAGGTATGTGTGTAAGCCTTTTTTTAAAGACTGCCATGTCCAAGCAGGTACGATTTGTCCAATCAAGATGTTTAGTTGAACTGATTGCATGGGAAAAGCCTTCAAATGATTCACAATAGACTGATCCCCGCTTCCTAGCTTCTGTTTTTGTTTTTGACGTTAGAAGGGACAGCCACTGGCTGATCGCTATGGCGTCTCTGCTGCCGGAACTCAATTGCGTGGGTGATGAATTTGGTTTGGGATATTTTGATACCAGTTGTTTGTCAAAAAGATCTAAAGAGGAATGTGATACACATTTTGTTGTGGGTTATTTTTTGGTTGTCAAACTGCATGTGGTGAGTGAAAATGCGGGACATGTCGGATGTAATGGTATATTGGTCAATTGATAAGTCACCATTGCTGAGAGTGAGAACACATTACTTTGATCCACACCTGTCAGGCAGGGCATGGATCAGTTAATAATTTATTATACACCAATGGACAGGGAAATTAAATTTGTTTTTTTACTTTCCATCGTAATTCTATGATCTGGATCTGGAACATGTGATTAGGCTCATATTCAGCCCCAGATCTGCAGCAAATGTCTGTTCAATTTCCAAATTTTAAAAGTAGGACTGGGTGTAGACAGTGTTGAAGGACTGGGTGTAGACAGTGTTGAAGGACTGGGTGTGGACAGTGATGTAGGACTCGGTGTAGACAGTGTTGTAGGACTGGGTGTGGACAGTGATGTAGGACTCGGTGTAGACAGTGTTGTAGGACTCGGTGTGGACAGTGATGTAGGACTCGGTGTAGACAGTGATGTAGGACTGGGTGTGGACAGTGTTGTAGGACTGGGTGTGGACAGTGTTGTAGGACTGGGTGTAGACAGTGTTGTAGGACTGGGTGTGGACAGTGTTGTAGGACTGGGTGTGGACAGTGTTGTAGGACTGGGTGTAGACAGTGTTGTAGGACTGGGTGTAGACAGTGATGTAGGACTGGGTGTAGACAGTGTTGTAGGACTGGGTGTAGACAGTGATGTAGGACTGGGTGTGGACAGTGATGTAGGACTGGGTGTGGACAGTGTTGTAGGACTGGGTGTAGACAGTTTTGTAGGACGGTGTAGACAGTGATGTAGGACTGGGTGTGGACAGTGATGTAGGACTGGGTGTGGACAGTGTTGTAGGACTGGGTGTAGACAGTTTTGTAGGACTGGGTGTAGACAGTGTTGTAGGTCTGGGTGTAGACAGTGTTGTAGGACTGGGTGTGGACAGTGATGTAGGACTGGGTGTGGACAGTGTTGTAGGACTGGGTGTAGACAGTTTTGTAGGACTGGGTGTAGACAGTGTTGTAGGACTGGGTGTAGACAGTTTTGTAGGACTGGGTGTGGACAGTGATGTAGGACTGGGTGTGGACAGTGATGTAGGACTGGGTGTAGACAGTGTTGTAGGACTGGGTGTGGACAGTGTTGTAGGACTGGGTGTAGACAGTTTTGTAGGACTGGGTGTAGACAGTTTTGTAGGACTGGGTGTAGACAGTGATGTAGGACTGGGTGTAGACAGTGTTGTAGGACTGGGTGTAGACAGTGTTGTAGGACTGGGTGTGGACAGTGATGTAGGACTGGATGTGGACAGTGTTGTAGGACTGGGTGTAGACAGTTTTGTAGGACTGGGTGTAGACAGTGATGTAGGACTGGGTGTGGACAGTGATGTAGGACTCGGTGTAGACAGTGTTGTAGGACTGGGTGTGGACAGTGATGTAGGACTCGGTGTAGACAGTGTTGTAGGACTCGGTGTGGACAGTGATGTAGGACTCGGTGTAGACAGTGATGTAGGACTGGGTGTGGACAGTGTTGTAGGACTGGGTGTGGACAGTGTTGTAGGACTGGGTGTAGACAGTGTTGTAGGACTGGGTGTAGACAGTGATGTAGGACTGGGTGTGGACAGTGATGTAGGACTGGGTGTGGACAGTGTTGTAGGACTGGGTGTGGACAGTGTTGTAGGACTGGGTGTAGACAGTTTTGTAGGACGGTGTAGACAGTGATGTAGGACTGGGTGTGGACAGTGATGTAGGACTGGGTGTGGACAGTGTTGTAGGACTGGGTGTAGACAGTGTTGTAGGACTGGGTGTAGACAGTGTTGTAGGACTGGGTTTAGACAGTGTTGTAGGACTGGGTGTGGACAGTGATGTAGGACTGGGTGTGGACAGTGTTGTAGGACTGGGTGTAGACAGTTTTGTAGGACTGGGTGTGGACAGTGTTGTAGGACTGGGTGTAGACAGTTTTGTAGGACTGGGTGTGGACAGTGATGTAGGACTGGGTGTAGACAGTGTTGTAGGACTGGGTGTGGACAGTGTTGTGGGACTGGGTGTAGACAGTTTTGTAGGACTGGGTGTAGACAGTGATGTAGGACTGGGTGTAGACAGTGTTGTAGGACTGGGTGTGGACAGTGTTGTAGGACTGGGTGTAGACAGTTTTGTAGGACGGTGTAGACAGTGATGTAGGACTGGGTGTGGACAGTGATGTAGGACTGGGTGTGGACAGTGTTGTAGGACTGGGTGTAGACAGTGTTGTAGGACTGGGTGTAGACAGTGTTGTAGGACTGGGTTTAGACAGTGTTGTAGGACTGGGTGTGGACAGTGATGTAGGACTGGGTGTGGACAGTGTTGTAGGACTGGGTGTAGACAGTTTTGTAGGACTGGGTGTGGACAGTGTTGTAGGACTGGGTGTAGACAGTTTTGTAGGACTGGGTGTGGACAGTGATGTAGGACTGGGTGTGGACAGTGATGTAGGACTGGGTGTAGACAGTGTTGTAGGACTGGGTGTGGACAGTGTTGTGGGACTGGGTGTAGACAGTTTTGTAGGACTGGGTGTAGACAGTGATGTAGGACTGGGTGTAGACAGTGTTGTAGGACTGGGTGTAGACAGTGTTGTAGGACTGGGTTTAGACAGTGTTGTAGGACTGGGTGTGGACAGTGATGTAGGACTGGGTGTGGACAGTGTTGTAGGACTGGGTGTAGACAGTTTTGTAGGACTGGGTGTGGACAGTGTTGTAGGACTGGGTGTAGACAGTTTTGTAGGACTGGGTGTGGACAGTGATGTAGGACTGGGTGTGGACAGTGATGTAGGACTGGGTGTAGACAGTGTTGTAGGACTGGGTGTGGACAGTGTTGTGGGACTGGGTGTAGACAGTTTTGTAGGACTGGGTGTAGACAGTGATGTAGGACTGGGTGTAGACAGTGTTGTAGGACTGGGTGTGGACAGTGATGTAGGACTGGATGTGGACAGTGTTGTAGGACTGGGTGTAGACAGTTTTGTAGGACTGGGTGTAGACAGTGATGTAGGACTGGGTGTGGACAGTGATGTAGGACTCGGTGTAGACAGTGTTGTAGGACTGGGTGTGGACAGTGATGTAGGACTCGGTGTAGACAGTGTTGTAGGACTCGGTGTGGACAGTGATGTAGGACTCGGTGTAGACAGTGATGTAGGACTGGGTGTGGACAGTGTTGTAGGACTGGGTGTGGACAGTGTTGTAGGACTGGGTGTAGACAGTGTTGTAGGACTGGGTGTAGACAGTGATGTAGGACTGGGTGTGGACAGTGATGTAGGACTGGGTGTGGACAGTGTTGTAGGACTGGGTGTGGACAGTGTTGTAGGACTGGGTGTAGACAGTTTTGTAGGACGGTGTAGACAGTGATGTAGGACTGGGTGTGGACAGTGATGTAGGACTGGGTGTGGACAGTGTTGTAGGACTGGGTGTAGACAGTGTTGTAGGACTGGGTGTAGACAGTGTTGTAGGACTGGGTTTAGACAGTGTTGTAGGACTGGGTGTGGACAGTGATGTAGGACTGGGTGTGGACAGTGTTGTAGGACTGGGTGTAGACAGTTTTGTAGGACTGGGTGTGGACAGTGTTGTAGGACTGGGTGTAGACAGTTTTGTAGGACTGGGTGTGGACAGTGATGTAGGACTGGGTGTGGACAGTGATGTAGGACTGGGTGTAGACAGTGTTGTGGGACTGGGTGTAGACAGTTTTGTAGGACTGGGTGTAGACAGTGATGTAGGACTGGGTGTAGACAGTGTTGTAGGACTGGGTGTAGACAGTGTTGTAGGACTGGGTGTGGACAGTGATGTAGGACTGGATGTGGACAGTGTTGTAGGACTGGGTGTAGACAGTTTTGTAGGACTGGGTGTAGACAGTGATGTAGGACTGGGTGTGGACAGTGATGTAGGACTGGGTGTAGACAGTGTTGTAGTACTGTTTGTAGACAGTGTTGTAGGACTGGGTGTAGACAGTGTTGTAGGGCTGGGTGTAGACAGTGTTGTAGGCCTGGGTGTGGACAGTGTTGTAGTACTGTTTGTAGACAGTGTTGTAGGACTGGGTGTAGACAGTGTTGTAGGACTGGGTGTAGACAGTAGTGTAGGCCTGGGTGTAGACAGTGTTGTAGGACTGCGTGTGGACCATGATGTAGGACTCGGTGTAGACAGTGATGTAGGACTGGATGTAGACAGTGTTGTAGTACTGGGTGTAGACAGTGATGTAGGACTGAGTGTCGACAGTGTATTTGACCGTGGTGTAGGACTGAGTGTAGACAGTATGTTTGACCGTGGTGTAGGACTAGATGTAGACAGTATATTTGACCGTGGTGTAGGACTGAGTGTAGACAGTGTATTTGACCGTGGTGTAGGACTGAGTGTCAACAGTATATTTGACAGTGATGTAGGACTAGATGTAGACAGTGTATTTGACTGTGGTGTAGGACTAGATGTAGACAGTGTATTTGACAGTGATGTAGGACTAGATGTAGACGGTGTATTTGACCGTGGTGTAGGACTAGATGTAGACAGTGTATTTGACTGTGGTGTAGGACTAGATGTAGACAGTGTATTTGACCGTGGTGTAGGACTAGATGTAGACAGTGTATTTGACTGTGGTGTAGGACTAGATGTAGACAGTGTATTTGACAGTGATGTAGGACTAGATGTAGACAGTGTATTTGACCGTGGTGTAGGACTGAGTGTAGACAGTGTACTTGACAGTGATGTAGGACTAGATGTAGACAGTGTATTAGACTGTGGTGTAGGACTAGATGTAGACAGTGTATTTGACCGTGGTGTAGGACTGAGTGTAGACAGTGTATTTGACAGTGATGTAGGACTGGGTGTAGACAGTATATTTGACAGTGATGTAGGACTGGGTGTAGTCAGTGTATTTGACTGTGGTGTAGGACTAGATGTAGACATCGTATTTGACCGTGGTGTAGGACTGAGTGTAGACAGTGTATTTGACAGTGATGTAGGACTGGGTGTAGACAGTATATTTGACAGTGATGTAGGACTGGGTGTAGACAGTGTATTTGACCGTGGTGTAGGACTAGATGTAGACAGTGTATTTGAAAGTGGTGTAGGACTGAGTGTAGACAGTGTATTTGACCGTGATGTAGGACTAGATGTAGACAGTGTATTTGACCGTGGTGTAGGACTGAGTGTAGACAGTGTATTTGACAGTGATGTAGGACTGGGTGTAGACAGTATATTTGACAGTGATATAGGACTGGGTGTAGACAGTGTATTTGACCGTGGTGTAGGACTAGATGTAGACAGTGTATTTGAAAGTGGTGTAGGACTGAGTGTAGACAGTTTATTTGACCGTGGTGTAGGACTGAGTGTAGACAGTGTATTTGACCGTGATGTAGGACTGAGTGTAGACAGTGTATTTGACCGTGGTGTAGGACTAGATGTAGACAGTATATTTGACCGTGGTGTAGGACTGAGTGTAGACAGTTTATTTGACCGGGTTGTAGGACTAGATGTAGACAGTGTATTTGACCGTGGTGTAGGACTAGATGTAGACAGTATATTTGACCGTGGTGTAGGACTGAGTGTCGACAGTGTATTTGACAGTGATGTAGGACTGGGTGTAGACAGTGTATTTGACCGTGGTGTAGGACTAGATGTAGACAGTGTATTTGACCGTGGTGTAGGACTGAGTGTAGACAGTGTATTTGACAGTGATATAGGACTGAGTGTAGACAGTATATTTGACCGTGGTGTAGGACTGAGTGTAGACAGTATACACATTCAGAAGACGTGTGTGAGTATCATGCTCCCAACAAACACGCAAACATCCAAATTGTCCACCATGCATGAACATGCACATGCAAATTGTGAATCACAACCTTAAAGTTGAGATGTCTTCATGAATATGTATAGAAAGATGCATTTCAGAATAAATGTATTTTTGTTTAACTTTAGTTACTTTTTTCTGTTAGTATCTATCATCGCCACTTACACTCACTCTCACTCTTGCAACCTGAAGTAAAATACCTACCTCAGGTTCTTATTCCTCCTGGTGGTGTTGTAGGGCAAACTCAAGTGGATGCGTATGGAGCTGCGAGACAGGATCCTGAGGGAGCAGCGGCTACGGCAGGAGTTCAGACAAGCTCTCACTTCTACTGATATGGACAGGAAGTTCCTGTTGGCAGAGCTGGCCAAACGAGATGAAGAACTGGATGACATAGCAGCTGCCAAACAAGGTACAGCTTACATAGATACACCATCATTAAGTCAATTTGTGAAAAAGGTTGTGTTCTATGTAAAATCTTCTCCTGTTAGACCAAGATTCACACATGCTTGAAAAGGTCTTGAATTTCGCAGCCTGGCCATGAAAAAGAACTTGAATTTGTAACAGCCTTAAAATTGATAAAATGCTGTAAATCTTTCAACTATCACTTGATTACATCATGTGTCATAATATTAGTCCTTAACACAATTGTTACATAACATTGAAATGCTGTTGTGCTCAATAGAATATTGTAAAACTGTATTTTGATGTGCAAACAAACCATTTTACAATGAAATTTAGTGGGATTTGTCACAGTGACCAAGCAAGTTCATGTTATCACAAATCCATATATTCTATAAGACGTATTAGGTATGAGCTTCATTGAAACAGCTAATTGTGACATTAAGTTCAGTGCACTCATTCCTTGACATTGTACTTATTTGCTAACCCTTGTCTGTATGTGTTGCAGAGCTAGCCTTCAAAGAGGTAGAAAGCAAGAATGCTGTTGAATCCCTGGAGGTGAGTCCTGCTGTCACAAATAGTGTGTACAAGTCCCTTCTCCACTTACTTCATACAAATAGTGTGTACAAGTCCCTTCTCCACTTACTTCATACAAATAGTGTGTACAAGTCCTTCCTCCACTTACTTCATACAAAAAGTGTGTACAACTCCTTCCTCCACTTACTTCATACAAATAGTGTGTACAACTCCTTCCTCTACTTCCTTCATACAAATAGTGTGTACAACTCCTTCCTCTACTTACTTCATACAAATAGTTTGAACAACTCCTTCCTCCACTTACTTCATACAAATAGTGGGTACAACTCCTTCCTCCACTTACTTCATACAAATAGTGGGTACAACTCCTTCCTCCACTTACTTCATACAAGTAGTGTGTACAACTCCTTCCTCCACTTACTTCATACAAATAGTGTGTACAAGTCCTTCCTCCACTTACTTCATACAAAAAGTGTGTACAACTCCTTCCTCCACTTACATCATACAAATAGTGTGTACAGCTCCTTCCTCCACTTACTTCATACAAATAGTGGGTACAACTCCTTCCTCTACTTACTTCATACAAATAGAGTGTACAACACCCTCCTCTACTTACTTCATACAAATAGTGTGTACAGCTCCCTCCTCTATTTACTTCATACAAATAGTGTGTACAACTCCTTCCTCTACTTACTTCATACAAATAGTGTGTACAACACCCTCCTCTACTTACTTCATACAAATAGTGTGTACAACACCCTCCTCTACTTACTTCATACAAATAGTGTGTACAACTCCTTCCTCTACTTACTTCATACAAATAGTGTGTACAACTCCTTCCTCTTCTTACTTCATACAAATAGTGTGTACAACTCCCTCCTCTACTTACTTCATACAAATAGTGTGTACAACTCCTTCCTCTACTTACTTCATGCAAACAGTGTGTACAACACCCTCCTCTACTTACTTCATACAAATAGTGTGTACAGCTCCCTCCTCTACTTACTTCAAACAAATAGTGTGTACAACTCCCTCCTCTACTTACTTCATACAAATAGTGTGTACAACACCCTCCTCTACTTACTTCATACAAATAGTGTGAACAGCTCCCTCCTCTACTTACTTCAAACAAATAGTGTGTACAGCTCCCTCCTCTACTTACTTCATACAAATAGTGTGTACAACACCCTCCTCTACTTACTTCATACAAATAGTGTGTACAACACCCTCCTCTACTTACTTCGAAAAAATAGTGTGTACAACTCCTTCCTCTTCTTTCTTCATACAAATAGTGTGTACAACTCCTTCCTCTACTTACTTCATACACATAGTGTGTACAACTCCCTCTACTTACTTCATACAAGTTGTGTGTACAACGCCTTCCTCCACTTACTTCATACAAATAGTGTGTACAACACCCTCCTCTACTTACATCATACAAATAGTGTGTACAACACCCTCCTCTACTTACTTCATACAAATAGTGTGTACAACACCCTCCTCTACTTACTTCATACAAATAGTGTGTACAACACCCTCCTCTACTTTCTTCATACAAATAGTGTGTACAACTCCTTCCTCTACTTACTTCATACAAATAGTGTGTACAACTCCCTCCTCTACTTACATCATACAAATAGTGTGTACAACACCCTCCTCTATTTACTTCATACAAATAGTGTGTACAACACCCTCCTCTACTTTCTTCATACAAATAGTGTGTACAACTCCTTCCTCTACTTACTTCATACAAATAGTGTGTACAACTCCTTCCTCTACTTACTTCATACAAATAGTGTGTACAACTCCTTCCTCTACTAACTTCATACAAATAGTGTGTACAACTCCTTCCTCTACTTACTTCATACAAATAGTGTGTAGAACTCCTTCCTCTTATTACTTCATACAAATAGTGTGTACAACTCCCTCCTCTACTTACTTCATACAAATAGTGTGTACAACTCCTTCCTCTACTTACTTCATGCAAACAGTGTGTACAACACCCTCCTCTACTTACTTCATACAAATAGTGTGTACATCTTCCTCTACTTATTTCATACAAATAGTGTGTACAACTCCCTCCTCTACTTACTTCATACAAATAGAGTGTACAACACCCTCCTCTACTTACTTCATACAAATAGTGTGTACAGCTCCCTCCTCTATTTACTTCATACAAATAGTGTGTACAACTCCTTCCTCTACTTACTTCATACAAATAGTGTGTACAACACCCTCCTCTACTTACTTCATACAAATAGTGTGTACAACTCCCTCTACTTACTTCATACAAATAGTGTACAACCTTTGTCTACATTAAAGTAGAATGTCAGTGTGATTTTAGTCCTGTAAGAAACATGTTGCTTGTTACTCTTGACTGCTGATGTAGGTGAGGTCAACAATCTTGTTCCAGGTGAGCTACATCTGAAAGTGTAACTGCACTAAATCTGTGTGGCCTTGAGTTTAATGCACACCCACATGTCATGATTGAATATGTATCGGATATGTTAACATACATTAATTACAGGATAAAACTCTGGTTATTTGTAAATGACTGTATTTGTATGTTTGTTAATGAAACAGCCCAAAATGACACATTGTGTATGGATACCAAAAAAAAAAAGTAACTGTGCTTCATATAATATTCAACAAAAATGCAATTATTCTGTAATAAAATAATGCATGTTTCAATGCAAATTCATGAAGACATATCCTCGACTTCAAAGTCGTGATTAACAATTTGCACGTGCATGTTAATACACAGCGCACAATTTGGATGTTGACGTGTTTGTTGGGAGCATGAAACTCGTACACATGTTTTTCTAATGTGAACAGCACACAATGATTGTAAAGCTGTTAGGTGCTCATCAAAACAGTTTTGTTTGATAGTAAATAACGCTTATGCAATGTAATTGCTTGCTGAAAATCAGTGTCTACTTGCCATAAGTATGCTACAGACAGGAATGGCACAAAACAAAGATTCTGTACATTTTTATGTTCCTCGAAACACAATATTGTCTCTTTGGAGATGTTATCTAAGGTGACAATACACCGATACATTGATCACATTCACATACCAAGTAAAAAGGTATCGATTCTTGCCTTAAATGTTTGCTTTTATGACTGGTACACCAAAAACTGATTAGTAGGGAAAATAAGTGATGAAAATGTAAATATTGTCATCCCTTGCGCCATATTTGACACTGCCAACTGTAAATCATCGGTGTGCCAGGTATTTGGCTATCTTGTCTTTGAAAAAGATGGCTTACGCACCAGAGAATAGAGCACATGCAAGTATTGTGATACATATCGGATCATGAGTGAGGTATCGCACAGTTGGTGTAGCGTCAAAGCCCTATTATCTACAGCATGGAAACACTCATGACTTGCCATGAGCCAGACGTCCACATGTGAGGTCACATCAACAAGACAACCACTTTTGGTTGGTGCATCTATGGAATCAATACCAAACTGCCACATTAACAGCTCGGACAATTCCTGGGTATAGTGGCAGCAATGTACACAACCTCGTGTTGTCCAGTGATATGCCCAAGTTTGCATCAACATCACCGCCATGGTCACCAAGCTTGCATGGTGTAGACAGCAACGTTTTAGCGATGCTTGCATTACTCAATGTCGTCAGTGTGGGAGTGAAAGTGTAATGGTATGGGGTGGCATCACCTTTCATGGTAGACACACAACTCATCATTGTTAATGGCAACTTGAATGGCGCATGCTACAGGAACTACATTGTCAGAAATCATGTTCTATCCTTTGTGCAAATGCAGAAACGTTGTAGCAGGATACTGCACGTGTTGTAACAGACTAATATAATAGTTTTGTACTGCCATGGCCAACTGTATTTCCAGACCTCAACCCCATAGAAAATGTCTGGGATGAGATAGAATGATGCTTAGGATAGGTCCAGAACCAGCTGGTAACGCTAGCTCAGTTGGGCCAATCTTTGGTCAACATTTGGAACAACATCACTCAGACTATTTTCAATCATCTGATGTCTTCAATGCGCATATGCTTTCTCACCTGTTTCAATCCAAGTGATGGTCACACCCGATATTGACATTGTTAAATGAGTTGTTATGTAGCACTGCGTGGAGTCGTCCCAGTAGTAGGCTTACCTTGTCAGCTTGCTGACGGGGTTAATGTCTGTGGTCATGTGGACAAGGCATCTGGCCACAACAGTTACACCAACCCTTTTTAGGGCATGTCACTCAGTCTCCTGTTACCAGGTATGGGTTTTGTCAATGAATTTGTTATGATAACACATTAATCAGATGAATGACCAAATATTATGTTGTTATTTCAATAACATATAACATTTACACCACTTTAAGCACAGTTACTTTTTTCTGCTGGAGGGTTATGGTGAAAAATCATTAGCATCACTATCCAACACAGTTTGTTTTAGAAGTACAGGTTAATATTCTTATCTTGAGTATGAGACCAGCAGTAGAAATTAAATCACTCAATTGTGTTTTTAATCATGATTATAATAAAAGTAGGTAAAATACCAATTTTTGATATTTTCAATCAGTTCCCAATATCTTAACTATTGAGTATTTTGGTTGACACACTACACGGGACTTGTGCCCACTTCTGAGCTGAAGTGAGATGATGCCGCTTCACCGTGATCCACACTGGGATTATGACAGTTGTCAGGTCAGCATGGGGTGAAGCTAGCTTCAAACAGGGTCACACTGTCAGGTGAGAACGAGGTGTAACTAGCTCCACACAGGGTCACAGTCACATCTGAACACAAGCTCCTCACAACGATAGCACGTTCGGAGAGCTCTCTATACTATCGTTGCCACCAGTCAAAACTCACCACTGTCATAGGTGACCACAACCATGCTTGGAGTTGAACTCACAACCGACTGACCGTTATGTTTACCAACAAGTGATGACTGCCGTGACACTGAATACTCTCTTCCCTGCTGAATTATGTTCTTTGTTTGTCAATTTGAATTTCTGTTTCATTACTACTATCATGTAATGGGTATAGTAAGAATGTAAGGGAGAAGTTGGTTGATTTTCCGTTCTTCTGCAATCCTGAACCAATCAGATCAAACAAACAAAAAGGTAAATTCATCTGGGAAACATGGTCAGTCATAAACCTTTTCAAAATTCACTATGATGGCATTCCCAAAGACATTAACAAAAGTAACATTACGACATATGGGGTTAGAGGGCACTGTGTACTGTCAGCAAGAGGTGTAGCTAGCTCAACACAGGGTCACCCTGACAGGTCAGCATGAGGTGTAGCTAGCTTGACACAGGGTCACAATGACAGGTCAGCATGAGGTGTAGCTAGCTTGACACAGGGTCACAATGACAGGTCAGCATGAGGTGTAGCTAGGTCAACACAGGGTCACCCTGACAGGTCAGCATGAGGTGTAGCTAGCTTGACACAGGGTCACACTGACAGGTCAGCATGAGGTGTAGCTAGCTTGACACAGGGTCACAATGACAGGTCAGCATGAGGTGTAGCTAGGTCAACACAGGGTCACCCTGACAGGTCAGCATTAGGTGTAGCTAGCTTGACACAGGGTCACACTGGACAGGTCAGCATGAGGTGTAGCTAGCTTGACACAGGGTCACAATGACAGGTCAGCATGAGGTGTAGCTAGCTCAACACAGGGTCACCCTGACAGGTCAGCATGAGGTGTAGCTAGCTTGACACAGGGTCACACTGGACAGGTCAGCATGAGGTGTAGCTAGCTTGACACAGGGTCACAATGATAGTTCAGCATGAGGTGTAGCTAGCTCAACACAGGGTCACCCTGACAGGTCAGCATTAGGTGTAGCTAGCTTGACACAGGGTCACACTGGACAGGTCAGCATGAGGTGTAGCTAGCTTGACGCAGGGTCACACTGACAGGTCAGCATGAGGTGTAGCTAGCTTGACACAGGGTCACACTGACAGGTCAGCATGAGGTGTAGCTAGCTTGACACAGGGTCACCCTGACAGGTCAGCATGAGGTGTAGCTAGCTTGACACAGGGTCACAATGACAGGTCAGCATGAGGTGTAGCTAGGTCAACACAGGGTCACCCTGACAGGTCAGCATTAGGTGTAGCTAGCTTGACACAGGGTCACACTGGACAGGTCAGCATGAGGTGTAGCTAGCTTGACACAGGGTCACAATGATAGGTCAGCATGAGGTGTAGCTAGGTCAACACAGGGTCACCCTGACAGGTCAGCATTAGGTGTAGCTAGCTTGACACAGGGTCACACTGGACAGGTCAGCATGAGGTGTAGCTAGCTTGACGCAGGGTCACACTGACAGGTCAGCATGAGGTGTAGCTAGCTTGACACAGGGTCACACTGACAGGTCAGCATGAGGTGTAGCTAGCTTGACACAGGGTCACACTGGACAGGTCAGCATGAGGTGTAGCTAGCTTGACGCAGGGTCACACTGACAGGTCAGCATGAGGTGTAGCTAGCTTGACACAGGGTCACACTGACAGGTCAGCATGAGGTGTAGCTAGCTTGACACAGGGTCACACTGACAGGTCAGCATGAGGTGTAGCTAGCTCAATACAGGGTCACACTGACAGGTCAGCATGAGGTGTAGCTAGCTTGACACAGGGTCACACTGACAGGTCAGCATGAGGTGTAGGTAGCTCAACACAGGGTCACACTGACAGGTCAGCATGAGGTGTAGCTAGCTTGACACAGGGTCATATCAAGACATCACTGTTGGATGTTCATGTGATCTGTTTTGGATGTAAATGTGTAAAGATATCAGTGTATATATGTATTTTATAGAAACTTCTAATCTCCTTGCTATAAATATTCCAGAGAAATTTAGGTGAGCTAAGGTGTTTACAAGATCATTTTATGTCTTTGTAATAATGAATGTTTGATATTCTGATACAGGTGGTATGGCCAAACGGTTGCCAGGTCCAGGTAGACCTCTATGATATTGCTGGAAAGTCCCTCCTTTCCTTCTAATTATAAGACACTCCTATATATTCCTCTAAAAGGTGACCCGTTAGGGGTGTAGAGCAGAAAGGTCACGAGTACTAGTTGTTTGGTTTGTATTATTATGTGACCTGACAGATTGTATGTCACCATTTGCACGCTTTCAACCACTGATGTGACTACATATCACTGAACAGTGTGCGAAATTGTCTCTACCAGAGGTGCATTCGAAATATGCAATATCATCAACAGTGTCTTTGTTTCAGGAGCACATTCTGGACCTGGCAGATGAACTTCATCTTCAGAAGGTGAAGCAGGTAGAACAAGAGCTGACGTTTGAGCGGGAGAAGCAGTACATCATAGAAGACATGGAGGAGATCATGGTACAACTCCATCAACTAATTCTACATATAGTAACATTAACAATGGTTGACACACTATTTTGGAAGGGAAGAAATATGATGCAAGTTTGGTCTGGATAACACTTGACAATTCATGTTTCAAACTTTAGTTTTGAAAGATGGAAACCTTGAAAGCTCTACACTGCTCCCAACTTCTCACTTCCAAAAACTGTTTTGAAAGATCGAAGCTTGAAATCTCAACACCGCTTCCAGTGAGTGACTGAAATTTAACATCACATTGGCAATATTTCAGCCATATCGAGATGAAACACCGCTTCCAATTTATTACTTCTGCACACTATTTTGGAAAGAAAGCTCTACATCACGTCTCACTACCAACTTCCTACTTCTGTAAACATGTTTTAAGAGATAGAAACCTTAAAAGCTTGAATGTTCTGTCAATTTTCAACTTTATATTTGATAGTTTGGAAATCTAAGATTACGGAGGCGTTTGTTTCAAATGTTTCCTCTTGCCTTTTTAAAATGTGAAAGACGAGGGTATACGACATACATTCTTGTTTACGACAGGAAAATTGCGCTTAACTGGCGCACATATCACACAGACAGACACATGCAAAGACAGACACTCACGATCACGCAGATACACACACAGACACACACACACACACACACACACACACACACACACACACACACACAGACAGAGCGATAGACACACAAGACACAAACACATGTACAGACACACAGATACACACACAAAGACATACACAGAGACAGACATGCAGACACAGACACAAGCAAACACGGACAGCCACACACACAGACAGACACATGCAGACAGACACAAGCAAACACACACAGACAACATGTGCGCACTCACACACACACATACAGACACACACAGACAACATGTGCGCACTCACACACACACATACAGACACACAGACACATTGCTGACTGACACACAGACAGACAGAACATATGCGCATGCACACAAAGACACACAGACACACACAGGCATACACACAGACAGACACATACATACATACACAGAGAGACACAAACACACACAGGCATACACACAGACAGACTGACACACAGAGAGAGACAGATGCACAGACAGACAGACACACACACAGACAACATGTGTGCATGCACACAAAGACACATACACACATACATATACATACACACAGACTGACACACACACACCCAGACAGACATGCAGACACACAAAGACATACACCAAACACACAGAGACAAACAAGCAATCACACACACATACACACAGACAAACACATATGCGCACACACACATACAAACACACAGAGAGACACAGACACAAGCAGACAGGCATGCTCACACACAGATGGACACACAGAGAGACACATGCAAACACACACAGACAGACACACACACACAGACAGACACACACACACACATATATAGACACACACAGAGATACATGCAGACACAGAGACAGACACAAGCAAACACACACAGAGACATGTGTGCACACACACACACACACACACACTTGACACAAACAGACACACACAGACACAAGCAAACACACACAGTGACAGACACACACACATACAGACACACATACACACAGACAGACACATGTTTGCTGCATGCACACACCTTCTACATCGGCCTTTGCTTCTATATTACATTTTCATTTCATTTATTTCAATGTAGGATAATTAAAACTAACCCTGAAGGTTTTGGATTCTGTATAGAAGTCCAAGTTTTATATTCAGGTAATGCCAGTATCGTTGACGGTATGGTCCAGTAATATTCTGTGCCGATTTTAGCTTAGTACTTTCTCAACACAAAGGACTTCAAGTGCTTGCTGATGCAGGTGTACACTGACCTTTTAAAAAATAATATTTTAAGCATATTCATTAAAGTTAATCAAGATGTGTAATGTTAGTGGTCCATTTGGGCATAGCCTATGACGAGTAGTATACATCAACAGGTACTGATGTATAAGTTTGAAACATATATTTTGGAAGTTATGAAGTTACCAATCTTCAATACTTCAACTCTTGGCTGCGTGTATAAGTGGGGCATGTGGTTACAACATGGTTCTAACATCTGAAGGTTGTTTTTTCTGAGCATTTTAGAAAAATAATAGCAAGGTATATTATTCAACGATTATTAACACTTATACATGTCTTAAAGCTGGCAAGTAACTCAGTATTTATGACCTTTCATAATTTGAATTGCAGCATTCAATAGAGAAATAAATTCAAAGGACATGAGTCATGCTTGGTATTTGTACAATAGAAAACTAGTATAGCCCAGTTATCCATGTTTCAGCTGGTAGCACAATGTTGACTTCAGTCACTTAACGGGGCACTCATCTAAAGCAATTCCCCAGGACTGGTTGTTGCCTTTGTTATTGTTTTTTTCCCAGTGAGTACCCGGATGTATAGAAGAAATCTAGACTAGTTCGCGACCTCTGCTGCGCCATTCGTAAGCGCATTAGTCACTTTTATGGGTAGTAATAAGGGCGTATGGACACATTGATCAACAAAATGAAATACAGTTTTCAAGATAATAATGAAATGTAGGTATCTTTGTGGGTAGCATCAGTAATAGTGACGAAGTTTTGATAAGTCACTTGCTTGGTAATTTTGCGATTTTCATTTACACTATTTTGACTTGCAACACAAAGTAAATATTTCACCTGAGCATTGCTTTTTTTATAGTGTTTATATTTTTTTACTGTCAAAATGTGTAACATTTTCAAATTTATTAAACGCCTAAATATTCAGTTATTTTACAAAGTGACTGAAAAACATTTCCATCTGTATTATTATAACGAATTCCAAACATTTTGATGTTAAATGTCATCACCAAGAGACTGAAAATGTTACGTTGAAAAGTACATTTCCATTTTGTTTGGCTTCTTATCCTTTTTAATAATCTGTTGTGATGTTTTTAGGCCCTTTTGATCGTCTTAATCAGTTTTAGTCAATCTGGACAGATTTTTCAGTCAAAATGACTGAAATATTTACACATTTTATAAATTGCCTGAAAGAATCACATTTTATAAATTGACGGTAATATATACACGCTTACAAAGGAAAAGACTTGTGAAAACAACGTCTATTGCGCATTGAAGAATTTCCCGACCAAGACGTAGAGGAAAAAGAACGAATTGGTTCAATGCTACAGCAAATGAAGGAGAACAAAATGCAAATACAATAATTACAACCTACCAAATTTATGTGTATAATTTTAGGCAGCTTCCTTGTTCGAGGAATGTATCCGTGAATATCCACGCAAAGGAACAATTAATATCCCACTCGTCTGCAGCTGTACAAAGAAACTTATTCGATGTCACGTGTCTCTGTAACAATCAAGATATATATCGTTTCGGGATATTATAACCCGTGTTCGTTTCTCAACTGATCACTTAGATTGTTTCAGGTGTTTCACATAGGTGTCAAGTCTCAAGGGTGGGTTGAGAAAGCCCACGTGACAACTATTTTCATAACGTCCACGGTTCCTAAAAAAATCCATTGAGTGATAGTTAACAATGAGCAATCAATCAACGTATTATCATTTAACCCTTTGAACAAAGTATGTTGTTTTTAAATCGGCACTTCACGCCATGGTATGAGTGTATTCCCTTTGTTTTAGTAAACCTAGACATGTAAACACTCACTTTTGACATATCCACTGTGCAAGATAACAGTGATTAATCAATCAACGTATTTTCTGTTAATCCTTTAATGATTAGGAACGATCCGTTGATTTACAAAAAAAGTAAATCAACTGATCATTCACCTCTTGCTGGGCTGCCACGTGCATATTACATCACACACGTTTCACCTCACTTCAAACCTGGATTTAGATTGAATCATTACCCCAGACACAATAAATGTCAAATGGGAACCTTTGTCAGGTAATCTAAGTGGTGCTTCCACTAATTGTACCTGTAATAAATTCATTAACTGAGCATCAAGTGAATGACGACAAATACACAAGTGTAGGGTTATACCAGAAAACGTGGATGACAACAAGGGAGTAGTAATCGTATTATGGACGCAATCCGAAATCCGAAAATGCTTTCACTGCATGGATACTTTTTTTTATTATTAAACTATAACCATCTGGGGTAGTTCCAAATGACGACATCCAATGAGCTCTGCCGTTCTTTTTGTCTGTTTGTTTAGGCTGAAGAAATAAATTAACATGCGCCCTTTGTCGAAATCTTAATAGATCACAGTTAACCAATCAGTGTTCAAAAATGCGTAAAACAAATATTGCCTCCAGCCTCCAAAAATTATTAAGCTGTCCTTGCAGACGGTAGCCCAGTCTCTGGTCATGGTCATGCTCAGTGCCCCTTTAAAAACGTCCTACAGCTTTCATGAAGTTTCAAGTAATTTTTAACTACATGTAATTAGATCTTGATGAAACGTTTCGAGTTATCTCTTTATAATTTATTTATTACAAAACTAGAGCAGGTAGTATTTTAAACATCTCGATTCACTTTGACGATATCTAAAGAACTCCCCAAAATTCACAGAGCCAAAAATTGGAGACAAACTAAACAGTTTTGGGTCACTGTAAAATGTAATTCTTTAGTAATTGATGCCTTTCATAAAATTATTCAGAGCTTTTCATGTACAATTCATTGAAAACAATAAAACTCCTTACAATCGTTTACAGTTTCATACACAAAAACAGTCGGTTGCAGATCGCACATTATGTTCTCTTTCTAGCTATAATAATTATATTAATATTTATTATAACTATTGTCCAATCATTGCACCAGCATGTAATTGACCGTTGCCTGTCTTCTCATTTACCCAGTCTGTTATTGCTTGTCATGTGTGAATTTACATGTATATTACCCGATGCAGAAGAAATATAAACTGTTTATGTGAGTTAGAACGTAGTTAATGTTTGTTTGGAAATTTTCATTTTTGTTGTATAGAGGGTAATGAATTCATTATCAATTATATTGCAAGTGCATCTATATATGAAAGCATATATATATA